CTCCTGAAATATTTTTAGAGCACTATTACTCTCCTGTTAAGGTTCGGGTCTCTTCGGTGATCTCGTCCTTTCTGTTCAGCTAGCTTCTGTCAGGGATTGGTGCGTGTAGCTCCGACGATTACGTTTCCATATTCCTTCTGGGTAATGTGGATACGGACTTCGATCGACCGTATTCCTTACCGTTAGTATTCCTCGGTCTAGGTCCAGATTCCAGAGTTTAAGGCTAAATGAATACGTTTTTATAAATGATAAGTTTCAAATTAAGAATTATCTGATAATTATGATATCTGAATATGTTTCTGTTCTGTACAAAAACAATGATAATAATAATCTCAAAATAGAATTATCTGATAATTATGATATCTGAATATGCTTCTGTTCTGTATACAAGAAGAATATAATAATTATCTCAGAATAAAATTATCTGATATTTATGATATCTGAGTATGATTCTATTTTATATGTAAATATCTGTATTTTTATAACAGTTGTTCGGTTCACCCAGGTATGTTATATGTTTGTCTGATCAGATGTGAATTATGATACATTAATATGTTCTTTGATATGTTAATATTATTGTTATTGTTATTGCCGTACCACTCAGCACATTGCTGAGCGGGTAGTTGTGTGTTTTTCTACCCGTAGGTTGAGCACGGAACCCGCTAGGAGCATGAGGATGGAAAGAGGCGTATGACGCATTTGCATGCCATGTTATTTGGTGTTTTTTTAATAAAGGACTTTAATATGTCATATGTGATTTTAAGAACTTCCGCTGCACTCCTTGAAGTGTTTTATGATGTTTAAGTTATGTCTGTTTTAATAACATTCTACTCCTTGTGAGTTTGACATTTTCTGGTATTTAGTAATGAAGTCGTTTTGGAATTAATACACTTTATTTTAATTAATAAAATATCTTATTAAATGTTTTGTGTTTAAAGTAAATAAAAAAAAGGCATTATTTTTCTTGAATCACGAAAAGTATCTTTGGTTAAATCTGTTCCGGTTTTTCCGCTAAGTGACGCGCCGCCCGGGTCGGCTGGTCGGTCCGGGTGGGGCGTTACATAGGATCCAACTTGTCACCTTGTTGGTGCACATACGCTGCACACCCAAACACTCTAAGATTAGACAAATCAAGGGGTTTGTTTGAAAAAACAGATTCAAGGCACTTCCCACCCAAGGGAACAGAAGGAGACCGGTTAATCAAGTAGATAGCAGTGTTAACTGCTTCACCCCAAAATGTTTTAGACAAACCGGCGGTAGCAAGCATACTCCTAACCTTATCTAGAACAGTCCTATTCATCCTCTCAGCTATCCCATTTTGTTGGGGAGTATAAGGCACAATTTTATGCCTTCTAATCCCACAATCAACACACAGTTGGTCCATATCCTTATTGCAAAACTCTAAACCATTATCTGTCCTAAGGGTTTTGACCTTCTTACCAGTTTGATTTTCTACAAGGTTTTTCCACTCCCTAAACTTCACAAAGACATCAGACTTATGCTCAAGGAGACAGACCCACACCTTCCTAGAAAAAGCATCAATGATGGAAAGAAAATATCTCTTACCCCCGTGGGTAGAGACACTAGCAGGACCCCACACATCAGCATGAACATACTCTAACACATAGGTACACTTAGTGAGATTAGGATATGGGGAGGAGGGGAATGTAACCTTATGCTGCTTGCCTAACACACAGGATTCACAAAAAAGGATGGGGGACACAGAATCCTTACCAAAACAACCAGATTTATGCAAAATCTATAAACCCCTATTACTCATGTGTCCTAATCTATTATGCCACAAAGCTGATTTATCAGAACTAACAACATGAGCATAATCACAGAAAGGCTGAGCATGACACACATACAAGTTATTCACCTTTTTGCCTTAAACAAAACAAGGGAGTTTTTCAAAACTTTCATACACCCGTTACCCCATTTACCCTCTAACCCACTACCCTCAAAAGCAGCAATAGAAAACAAGCTATGACGCAAATCAGGAACATGCCTCACATTTTTCATAGTAAACACAGTCTCATTATCAAACTTCAAGCATACATCACCCACCCCATGAATTTTGCATTTCTTATTGTGAGCAAGAGACACAAAACCATCATTGCAAGAATCATAAGAAGAAAACAGAGATCTAAAAGGTGTCATATGATAAGTACAACTAGAGTCAATCAACCACTCATTTTCAGCCATGCTACTCAACACAGAATTGGCAGAATCACAAATCATAAAGATTTCTTAATGCAAGTTATTATCATCTACCACATTAACATGTTCAGACTTCTTAGGATGGGGACAATCCTTAATGAAATGACTAGAATTACCACAATTATAACACTCTCTTCTTAGACTTACCTCTCTTCTTCCCCGGGTCATTGTTTTTGTTCTTATCATTGTTGCCCTTCTTATGGTTTCTAGATCTACTCTTAGACCTACCCCTCACAAACAACGCTTCACTCGAGTCCCTAGACTGACCATTACTACCCCCAGAGTGTCTAAGGTCTAACTCCTTATTCCTTAATGCATTAACGACTATATCTAACGAGATATCGTCTCTACCATACTTTATGGCAGATTTGACGTCATTGTATGAGTCAGGGATGACATTAAGTAACACTATGGGTGTGTAGTCATCTATGTGTTTATCACCGACTTGCTTAATATTCTGAATAAGCTTGCTAAACACATCTAGGTTCTCATCTATGTCCTTAGACATGTCAAGCCTAAATCTAAAGAACTTCTCAAGCAAAAACAATTTACCAGGCATAGAAGTATTGGTATACGTATTATCTAACTTGTCCCACAAAACCTCTGCAAAATCTATAATACCCACCTTCCTGAGTACTGAATCAGAAAGGTTCAGGTATATAGAGGAACAAGCAGTTTCATTCATTTCATCGCGCTTAGCAGCATCCTCAGAGTCTAAATAGAGACCAGTCACAGCTCTATAGACTTTCTGTGGGATCAACACGCATTTGATTTTCTGTTTCCAGATATCAAAATTTGTCTTTCCGTTAAATGGAAGCATGCCATATTGATTGACAACCATATTAACCGGAAAGCTAGCACAACACGCAAGAGAGTAAATAAAAAATTATCAAGCAAAGAACAGTATGAAGCAACTAGCACGAACAAGCCGAGAAGACCAATGAACACAAAGTTCGGGTACAATCTCCTTGTTCTTTCGTACCGTACGAAGCAACCAGCACGAACACGACGAGAAGACCAATGAACACAAGGCTCGGGTACAATCTCCTTGTTCTTTCGTACAAGCAAGATAAAATTTTTATTTACTCAACAGACAGATAAATGATTAATTATAACCTATAGGGCTATCAATTGTACGAATCAACTAGCACGAACAAGCCGAGAAGACTAATGAGCACAAAGCTCGGGTACAATCTCCTTGTTCTCTCGTACAAGCACAAATAGGCTAAAATTAAATCAACAAGCAAAGAAACTGGATTTAAAACTAATCCGGACAGAAATATTCCCAACTTCGGACAACAAGTATCCAAACAAATATTCTTAACCGGAGAGTTTATCCACGAATCAATTAACCGAAAAAATCAAAATAAAAAATCCAACACGTGATTAAATTTAAACCGGAAAAAATATTCACAACTTTGGACAACGAGTATCCAAACAAAATATTCTTCACAGGAAAATTAATTCACGATTCAACAAGTAATCACAATTCAAACAAATAAGTAATTGTAAATCAACTTGAAATTAAAACGAATGAACTACGAATAAAAAATCACACAAAGGATTAGTAAACGTACCTGGGGCCGGACACAGCCGACATCCTAGACCACGTAGGTCAGCAGCGGGGGAGCAGGGAAAAAAAATAAATCCGGTGGCACTCCGGTACACCAAGGATGTTAAACGCCAATTTACCTGAGCGGGACCCGAGGTTGGATTACCCGACTTACCTTAGGCAGCGTGGGCTGCTGTAGAGCACGGCGGCAGAATCTGGAAGGCGGCAACGGCGCTCCCTGGGCGGCGGCAGAAGATGGACCGGTGGCAGCAGGCTTCCCTGGACGCGGCAGACTGGACAGCACCTCCCTGGAGCGTCTGGCAGTAGCTGGGCAGCGTTTGGACTCCGGCGACACTCCCTGGACCTCCGGCGACGGCGTACGGCGGCGGCAGACAACGGCGTGGCGGCGGCAGACCTCTCCCGTCTCTGATACCACTGTTAGGAGGACTTCCAGCTCAGGTCTCAACCATTTTCATCCACAAAGGATGAATTTCACCACCACTGTCTCAAGGGGAGAAGAGGGCGACAGCCAGCGAGTTATTTTCCGGCCAACTCACCTAGGGTTCCACGGAGGAGGCTAAGGTTCGAATTTTTGGGAGAAAGGTTTCGGCCAGACCAACCAACCAGCAGAGAAGGAGGGACTTTAAATAGGCAGAGTAAAGGTATCAAAGATGGTAACTTACCTTGCAAAGGAGATACGCTCTTTACTACCCAGGGAAAGGAAAGTATTGCCAGAGAAGAAGAAGCCGATCGATAAGTTCGAATGCGCAGTGCGGAAGTGAGGAAAGAACATGGGCCGGGTGCAAGGCAAAGGGAATTGAGCTTATAGATAATAGTGGGCCAATACCAACATAGATTTACGATCAAATGAGAACAATGCTTAATGTGAGAACACCACATTTACCCCAATGTGACGCACAATGAGGCTCGCACATTGCTCTTTTTTGTATCAGGCATAATATTTACAAAAGTGCTACTATGATTATTTATATTAGCTTGTATTGAGCAAAGTCCAAATGTGCACTAGAAGGGCTCTATCGTGTATCACATTGAATTAAATGTGAGTATTCTCACGCTGTCACGTTAAACATAGTTCTCATTGAAACCGCACTATATATATTTATAATGAATTAAAAGTATATGTAAATAAGATAAAGTAATGTATATGGGCACCCGTGGGCACCCACAACCGGGTGGGGCTGGGATGAGGGAACTTTTTAGACTCGTGATGGAGAAGTATACCTGCCCCAAACCCGCCCCATTGCGTATCTACACCTCTGTACAGCCGTTGGGAGATGAAGCGCAGATATGCCAAGCATGGGTGAAGACCACACTTGCGAACAATTGTGCAGATTCGATCACTTATTATAGGATCATCTCTTAGTTTTGTTCTTCTTCTACAACCTGACTCCATCCCGTTCGTAGGTTTGGTAATACTTAGAACCTTCAAAGTGTCTAGTTGTTTTCCTAACGAGTGGCTGTATTGTTATAACAGGGGTTATTTTGATATTCAAATTAATTTCATTTATTAATGTTTAATTCAGTGGCGGTGATTAGTAATTTTGAGGTTGTTAATAGAATTACCTTATTTGTAAACTAGACTTGTAGAATCATTCGGTGCTCATCATACCGGGAAATACTCCATCTCTTTGGCGACGTTCTTCAACATGCAGGTATTCCATTTTCTAAGCTCCATCTTCAGTCTTCGCTCTCTAACTTCCAACCTCAAACATAAATTGAGCCTTGTTTTAAATGCTTTCCAGATATGAAAAGGAAATGTAAAAGTTTATTTCATTAACGATTTTTTAGATCTACGGTTAAAACATTCGAAATCTGAAACAAGAGTATACCATAGTTACTTCTTTACTGGAGAGTGTACACTTATTTTTTGTTACCGTTTCTTCAGTCAGATTTGGTGGGAAAGTGGCAAAAGGGTACTGCATTATAATACTCCGTAATAATTAGTATTATTGTAAAAATAATAAAAGTTTTAATACGTAGTACTATACATAATTAGAATTAATAATATTAATAAAAATATTCTATTATTATCATTATGGTTGTTGTTGTAATTATTATTGTTATTACCTTTTTTGGAACCTGAAAATTGAATTATGAAGAAACTGAGAATTTCCATTCGTGTAGCTCACTATTGCCTTACTTTTTCACCTTAGCAGCGGATAATGGATACATAGATGGTATTTTTCTTGCGTTTATTATGTGAGTATATATAGGATGTATTTCATTCTCAAGGTTCTTCATCAATTCTAGTGTCTATTCGGATCATCACTCTGATTTTCAGTATATCTGTATATTTTCAAATCTTGTCTGGCTTTAGTTGCAACATTGTCCCTCAATGAAAGAAGACAAATCAAGCACACACAGTTACACATCATCATGTTTTTTGTGTATGGTTGATCGAGCCTTTTGGCCCTTGTCGCTTATGTATACTTTGGTGAAGGTCCGAAGATGCTTATGAATTTGTGAAGATAAACATAGTTCTGTAATATGTTTCTGACTATTTTGTCACTAATGCATAGTTGCATGGGTGTAGTTAGACCCCTGAAAATTTAAATTGTGGGTGGGCCTGAAAATAATTTATCTATATGGCTTCATAATAAAATTGTTACACCTAAAAGAGATTTTTACTGAATTTAGGGTGGGCCGGGCGGGGGTGGCCCACCACTAGCTACACCAATGCAGGGTGTAGAAGTGGGATGCATTTACCCGTTGTAAAGATAAGCATCTGACTTGTTATGTTGTGCAGTCAAAGAAAAGGGGTCTTTCCTTAGAGGAGAAGCGAGAGAGAATGCTGCAAATCTTTTATGATTCTCAAGACTTTTTCCTTGTAAGTCATCTTGTTTTATGTGTTTTTGTTATGTTTTTTATGGAGAAGAGGATGTAATTCTCTTGTAAAAGCAATGCTCCCTAATCATTGCAGAATATTTGAAATCACATGATTTGTTGTACTTTAATACTTCAACTTTAAACCACAGTTTTCGTGAATTGTACCAAGAGCAGGAGAAACTAAAATGTATGCCATTTCTTTGGTTCCTCTTACTTTTCCCAACAGTGGGATCAATTTCTTAGGGCCTGTTTGTACAGTATGGGATTAGGGTATGATTCATAAGTTGAGTGTTTAAATAGGTAATTGCATAATAGTATAATATCAATCAGCAACCTCATTCTTACTTTGGATTAGGGTAATTGCATATATTAGTATTGTTTTGGTGGGAAGTTTTCAAAATTTGCTCCAAATGCGCATTTAAGAACTTTTTGTATGCATATTTTTACCCAATTGCATAATGTCTACAATATAAATTATATTGCATATACAATAACAACAACATAGCCCCAGTGCCGCAAAGGCTTCAACCTACGGTGGGGTAAGGGGGGGTTGGATGTATGCAACCTTACCCTTAGAGAGACTGTTTCCGGATGACCCATGATGAAAATTGCGTCGAAAATTGCATGGACTGGCTGCTGCTTCAAAACAAAGAAGTGAAAACAGTTTATTGAGCCATTTTGCTATATTCCATCATATTCCCAAGCAAAAAAATAGTGAGTCTTTGGCTCCATTGGAAATGATGGACTAATATTGCATATACACATATTTATATAACATGCGACTCCGAGTAATACACTTATCTCTGTTTGTATTTGTAATTACAGATGTCATACATATATGTGTATGATTATGTAGGGGTATTTGTCTGTTTCGGTTTTTAATTGAGCAGTTTTAACGACTTCTAGAAGAGGTGAAATTGAGAATCGGACCAGAAAACTTGATTCGTTTTGGTCGATTTGTATCGGTTTCAGCCAATTTTAGCTTGTTTTGGTCTGGTTTTGCCTACCGATTTTGGTTTGGCCGGTTCTTTAACCCAAAAGTATAAACCGTAAACCGAATCACCGACGGATTATTCCATTTCGGTTTTAGTTGGTCGGTTTAGTTCTGATCGGTTTGGTTTGGGTCGGTTTAGTTTTTTCATTTTTTTGTTCACCCCTATGATTATGTGTGTGTGTGGGATTACAATCAACAACTAATCCTACATTTTTGGATTTGTCATGGGCTTGGGCCGACAAAGATAACTAATTCTTCAAAGTAATCATTGGATAGAAAGTATTATATTTCTTTCTATCACCTTTTAGCCTGCAAAGACAGCAAGCCATTAGGATCATCGGTTTGGAACATATAAAATGTTAGGGAAAAAATTGAAGGAAAATAGATGGGAAATTTGGAAGGAAAGAAAATATGCCGGAAAAAAACATTCCCTACACCACATATTAAACTTCCAACCTGCTTTTGGCACATGATTTAAGAAAGTCAAATTGTGTAGTAGAAATATATTTAGAGAATGGAGAAATGATATAAACGTCACACTTCTTTCCTTAAAAAGAGGTGGAAGTTTATTTCAGACAACCCAAACGGAAAGTGAAAAATTTATTCGGTGGCAGAGGGAGTATTTCTCTCAAACTCAATAAATCATTTATTGATATTTGTTCAAACTCATTTTATTTATATATTTCTATACTATAAATACTACTCCCTCCGTCCCATTTATATTGTCCCAATTCCTATTTACTTGGTCAACACAAATCACTTTTAATTTCTTACTTTATATATCAAAAATTTATCAAATGTGATTCAGGTTTTTGCGACTTTGTAAAGTTTTAAATGTAGTTTCTGAATATGTAATATTTTTTTCCTAAAAATAATTTGGGTGCGGACAGGGATCTGTTTGCTTTATCGTCGGTCAAACATCGTAAACCGTAAAGAGACAATATAAATGGGACGGAGGTAGTATGAAATATAAACATTTGTGCCAAAGTTAAAGCATTAAATATACTATAAATACTATGAAATATAAACATTTGTGCCAAAGTTAAAGCATTATACATATTTCATCTTCTTTGCATTCTAGAGGTAAAATCAAACATAACAAAATAACTTTAGTTTTTTTTCCTTTCCCGGCATTTTATGAAGTCCAAACATGACTTTATGGTTTAGGGATAGGAAAATGGATATGACTTAAACCAAGTCATCAACAAATGAACTCACAAGGTACAAGCTAAAAGAGCTCATTGATCCGTCATTAAAAAAGGGCAGCCTGATGCAAGCCTTCCCTTGTCATTTTGGCAAGAGGCTGCTCCCAAGACAGACTTGTGCCCGTGACCTCTCAGTCACACAGCAACACCGTAACCGGTGCGCCAAGGCTCCATTTCTCATAGATTCTCTATTTATTAATTAATTAGTTTCTTTATTATTATTATTATTATCATTATCATTATCATTATCATTATTATTATTCTTATATCATTTATTTATGTATTTTGTCTAGCATGTTTATTGTATCAAATTTTGACAGCATTAAGGCTCTCCAGAAATGAGTGCTCAAGTTTTGTTTCTCCATTAACGTAATCTGTTTTTGTTGAGTAGTATATCTTTGTGCACTCTGTATGCATTTTCAGTTAAAGGAGCTTGAGAAGTCGGGGCCTAAGAAAGGTGTGATTAGCCAGTCGGTAAAAGATGTTGTCCAAAGTTTGGTGGATGATGACCTTGTTTCAAAAGACAAGATAGGGACTTCTGTGAGTAACTTCCTTTATATGTTTTGTTATTGTGACTCTATTATTTTGAGAGTATTTTAAGGTGCTAAGGCAAAAGTCAAATGGGAATTAAATCCAGTCCCATTGTTATGAAGCTATTTGCCCCAATTAATTAGGGGTTATTTGTGCCTGTTTTATGTTTCAGTTTCTTGTGGTTGAAATTATTTATTGTTATCATCTAATTGAGTGTTTCATGTTATGCAAAGTAGTTGAATTCAACTCACTGTTTTGAGCAAAAGATATGTAAATTAATTTCAGGTATATTTTTGGAGCCTTCCTAGCTGTGCAGGGAATCAGGTTGCCAAGCTAAATGTTATCTACAGTACATTGACAGTGTATCTATCTTATGAATATTCAATGCATGATTCCTATTTGACAGTTAAGAAACGTGTATAGAAAGCTTGAGACTGAACTCCAAAGCAGTAAAAAGAGACACTCAGAGCTTCTTGAACACTCTACGAATTTGAAGAAAGGACGTGAGGAATCTGTAAGTTCACTATTCATTTTCATAGCAATCCTCCATTGCAAAACTTTTATTAAGGGCTGACAGGACTCGGGCAGATTAGCACTGATAATAATAATAACAACAATAATAGAAGAGTTAGTATAAATAGATGTTGAGGGTAGAATAGAGAGGAGGCTGGAAATATCATTTGGGCTTGGAACTTTGGAAACTGTTTTGTATTTTCTCTCTCTATTTTCTGTTATAGGAACTACCTCCATTGTTACGCATCTTGATTTCTTCCATAGTTAGCTCTCTCAAATTACTGTAAACTGGTCTATACCTATCATTGGTATCAGAGCAGTCGTTTCTGCGCCTGTCAATGATCGCTAATCAAGAAACGATGGAAAGTCAGCTGCATGGTTCGCAGCGCGAAGGGGAACTTAGTCTCGAAGAGAGGCGGAAGGCATGGGAGAGGAGTAGCGAAGAGATACGGAATGATTTAGCGGAGTTGCACAAGTTGATACTGCAACGGTACGGTCGACGTGAGCGAGGAAGATCGTTGACCATAAAGCACTGTCAGAATTCGAAAAGCAAGAGCAGTTCGCAAACAGTTCTTCAACGTTCGCAGATTTCATCGAGTCCGCAGAATTTGTGGCCACCTGATTCGCTGAGTTCGCAAGCTTCACCTCAAGCGCTCAACGTTTCTACCAGTTCGTTGTGGTTAACTGAGGTTACCGAGCATCATCGATCGCCACTGCAAGTCGATTCTCACCATGCGCAAATCTCAGTGACGACATTGAACTCCAACTATTCTCACCTTGCGCAAGCTATAGACCTCGTAGAATCAGGAAGTGAATCACCTTCGACAACACCGAAGGATGAGTTGCAAACATCTGCACCATCAATTCTGGAGCCGGATCCAGAATATGACATTATTCAAACCACTGAGTTTCCAACAGATAATCTTGAAGATTCAGAAACGCGCAAATCTGATATACTTTACAACAGGAAGGAAGGAAATCGTACTGACCACAATGATCCTGCCTGGGAACTGAACAACAATATCACACGGGCTGATGAGGAAGACCCAGAGACGAATCTAGGATTTCGAGTCAAGGGGGGCGAAAATTTTTCTGCTAGTGTAGCGGGGCGAAATTTTTTCGCTAGTATAGGGCTCTACGGCTATTTTTTTTTTAAAAAAGTTCCTTTGATACACATACCCGACGATAGCTAAATCTATTAATGTAGGTTTTAAGAATTAATCTTCCTTAATTGTATTGAGCCATACGGCCAGAATATATATACAGAGTACAATAAACAAACTCCCTGTGTAGATCCTAAAAATATGTACACTATCTAATAATAAAGATTAAATGTAACATTTTCTACCCTCCCCTCAAGTTGGTGAATATATATCATACATTCCCAACTTGTTTATAAGTAGTTCAAACACTGGTCTGAACAATCCCTTTGTGAAGATATCAGCTGTTTGTTCTTTAGTAGATATGAATGGTATGCACACAATTCCAGCTTCAATCTTTTCCTTGATAAAGTGTCTGTCCACTTCAATATGTTTAGTACGATCATGTATCACATGATTATGAGCAATACTAATGGCTGCCTTGTTATCACAATACAACTTCATAGGTAGATCCATCTGCATATTTAATTCTGAAATCATTCTCTTGATCCAAAGCAGTTCACAAATTCCATTAGCCATAGACCTGTATTCAGATTCTGCACTACTTCTAGCAACTACAATCTGTTTCTTACTTCTCCAAGTCACAAGATTTCCCCATACATAGGTGCAATATCCAGAAGTAGATCTTCTATCAGTAACTCAGCCAACATAGTCTGCATCTGTAAATGCCTCAACAGTTCTACTGTTGCCTTTTTAAAAAATAATCCTTGCCCTGAACAACTTTTCAGATACCTTAGAATCTTGCAAGTAGCATCAAGATGTTCTTGGACTGGATTATGCATAAACTGGCTAACCAAACTAACCGCAAATGCAATATCCGGCCTTGTATGTGCCAAATATATCAATCTTCCCACCAATCTTTTGTATTGTTGAGTATTGACTGGAACTCCCTCTTTGAAATCTCCCAACTCCTGATTAGGGTCAATAGGAGTGTCCGCTGGTTTGCATGCACTCATCCCTGTTTCTTGAAGAAGATCCAAAACATATTTCCTTTGAGATAAAACAATTCCCTCTTTTGATTTGGCTATCTCCATGCCTAGAAAGTATTTCAACTCTCCAAGATCTTTGACCTCAAATTCAGAAGCAAGTTTCTTCTTCAGGCTTTGTGTTTCTTCATAAAAGTCTCCTGCAATGATAATATCATCTACATAGACAATTAATATAGCAATCTCCCCTTTGCTTGAGCATTTTATAAATAGAGTATGATCATATTGGGTCTGTTTATATCTTTGTTTTTTTAACAAACTGTGTGAACCTGTCAAACCAAACCCTTGGGGACTGTTTGAGTCCATACAGTGATTTCTCTAGCTTACATACTTTTGAACCAAACCTGCTTTCAAATCCAGGAGGAGGATTCATGTAAACTTCTTCTTCAAGTTTCCCATTTAAAAAAGCATTCTTCACATCCAACTGTTGAAGAGGCCAGTCCAAATTAGCTGCAAGAGATGGAAGAATTCTGATAGTATTCAACTTTGCAACTGGTGCAAAGGTCTCAATATAGTCTATGCCATAGGTTTGTTTATAACCTTTGGCAACTAATCTTGCATTATACTACGTATCTCTCAAGAGTGCCATCTGCCTTGAACTTAGGAGTGAAAATCCATCTACATCCAACTGTTGGCTTGTGTTTAGGTAGCCCTACAATCTTCCATGTCTGATTCTTTTCAAGAGCATCCATCTCTTCCAGAACCGCTTTCTTCCACTCGGGTTTAGATAAAGCTTCTTGTATGGTTGATGGAATAGAAGTAGAAGAAACAATAGAAGAAAATGTTGCAAATGTAGAGGATAATCTAGAATAGGAAACATGGTTTGAAATAGGATATTTGACACATGACCTTTTCTCTTTTCTGAGAGCAATTGGTAAGTCAAGATTACTGAAATTATTACCTTTTTCATTTTCTGTCAATGAGTCAGATTCACGAGCAGTTGCAGGATCAGAGATGTCCTCTATTCTTTGATTTGGAACTCTCCTTTCATAAATTTTGCCAAAAAATTTACTTGTCTGCATTTCATCTTCCTTCCTTGTTGCAGTTATATTTATTTCATTTTCTTCTATTTCTTGACCATTTCCTGATGCATCTAAGTCTTTAGTATGATGTGCATCTAGATTAATGTCAAGAAATTCAAGATTTTCATGGATATGCAATATACTGTTACCATCTTCACTTGAGTTCTCCCCCTGAAGATGAGTACTAAAAAAGGGTTGATTCTCAACAAAACTAGTGTTCATTGTTACAAACATCTTTATTGTTGTAGGATCAAAACATTTATATCCTCTGTGTGTTGAAGACAGTCCTAAAAAAACACATTTTTTACCTCTAGGATCAAGTTTACTTGCTGAATTGTCAGGGTTGTGAATAAACACTGCTCAACCAAAATTTTTTAAAGGAAGAGAGCTGATAATTCTGGTTTTAGGAAAACAGGCCTGAAGTGTACCAATAATTTTCCATCATTTGCAATGGAGCCAAAGATTCATTATTTTTGGCTTGAGAATATGATGGAATAAAGCAAAGTGACTCACTAAACTGTCTGCGCTTCTTTGTTATGAAGCAGCAGTCAGTCCATGCAATTTTGGACGCGATTTTCACTATGGGTCATCCGGAAACAGTGCTTTAGTACAGGGGTAAGACTGCGTACATCCGACCCCCTTACTTCACCGTAGGTGGGAGCCTTTGCGGCACTGGGGTAAATGAAAATGATGATGATGAGGCCTGAAGTGTACCAATAGGAGTTTTAAATCCTAGAGTTTTTGATGGCATCCTATTAATTAAATTGGTGACATGTAAAACAGCATCTCCCCATAAATATTTTGGAACTTTGGTTGAAAACATGATTCCACGAGTGACTTCAAGTAAATGTCTATTTTTCCTCTCAGCTATTTCATTCTGAGCAGGTGTATTTACGCAAGAACTTTGATGAATAATCCCCTTTTCAGTAAAAAAAATTGTTTAAGTTTTGAGAAAAATACTCTCGGCCATTATCACTTCTTACCATTTTTATATTTATATTGAATTGGGTTTGAACCATTGAGTAAAATTTTCTGAACACATTTTCAACTTCAGATTTCTCTTTAATAAAAAAAACCATGTTACTCGTGTATGATCATCTATAATAGTTACAAATCATCTTTGTCCTTTCAGGGTAGTAACTCTAGATGCACCCGCAGCACCCCAAATATCACTATGCACAAGAGTAAAAGGACTAGTGGGTTTGTAATTATGAGGTATATAAGAACTCTCATGATGTTTTGCAAGTGCACACATATCACAATGAAATGATGATCTTTATTATGAAACAACTGAGGAAACAATCTTTTTAAATAGTAAAAACTAGGATGACCTAGTCTAAGAAAGAGAAATAGTTTGCAAACAAGCATTTCCTTGACCTTGTTTATTCAATTTAGTTCCTTCATCAAAGATGTAGAGTCCATCTTCCTCTCTAGCACTCCAATCATCTTCCCCGAGGCCATATCCTGAAATATGCAATAAGAGGGGTAAAATTTGACACAACATTGAAGTTCTTTGATTAATTTGCTAACAGAGGCAAGATTATAAGAAAGGTTTGGAACATGTAGGACTTTGGAGAGGTTAGTAGATGAGGAAATCGTGACATTTCCCATCCCTGCAATGGCTGAAAAAGAGCCATTTGCAACTTTAACTTTTTATCTCTTGCACAAGGGTTATATGAGGAGTAGAATTTTGAAATAGAGGTCATATGGTCTGTTGCACCTGAGTCAATAACCCATGTATTTTTTGATTTTTTAGAACAGAAATATGATGTGATTTTACCATTTTGGGAAAATGAACAAGAAGGGTTTTCCTGGTTAGGGCTCTTTTTGGTATTTAGAAGCTGTAGGAGTTGCTCCCTCTTTCCCTTGTGAAAGAGGGCTGCTTGAGAGTGTCTGGTTGTTCTTGTCCAGTTTCAGGTATGGTAGTGTGTAGGGCCTTGTCAATTCTTTTCTATCCTGCTCCTGGAGGTTTTCCATGAATCTTCCAACACGTCTCCCTGGTCTACCAGGGCTTCTTCTCATTTTATTTGGCAATCATTGCTGAGAACTCCCCAGGCTCATCATTGTTATGTACTGGAGTATTGTACATAACCTTCTTCCTTCTATCCTCCATCCTTATCTCAGAAAATACCTCCCTGATTGAGGACAGAGGTTTCTTTTCAAGTATTCTGCCCTTCACTTCATTCAGGTCCCTATTAATTCCTGTTAGGAACATATAAACCCTATCATTTTCCTCCTTTTTTTTTGTCTGGCCAGATCCTTGACACTCTCCCATTCTTCATCATCATAGCATTGATCCAACTCTTTCCATAGAGACACCATCTCATTGTAGTAGGAGATGACATCGCTATTTCCTTGTTTGGACTGCCATCACTTGGTTTTCAATTCAAAAATTTGTGAATTCTCAAGATCTTAGTAAGTTTCCTTAATAGAATCCCATACCTCCTTTGCAGTTTTCATGAACATGTGAGGCTTGACAATTGATGCATCTATTGAACTGAGAAGTCAGGCTGTTACTAACGATTTCTCTGACCACTTTTGTTTTTCCTTGATTTCACCGGTTAGGTATCCCAGCTTTCCCTTGCCATCAATTGCTAGCTTGACATACTGTGACCATTCTAGGTAATTCCTTCCATTCAATCTATGTCCAGTGATGAGCATAGATGAATGAATCGCGTCTTGAGAGTTTGCCATAGAGCTAATTTGGGAATTAGGGTTGCTGATTTGTGATTGGGAAGATGAGTCAGAGTTCTCGAATTCCACCATTGGGGTGTTTAAAGTGAAGGGATACCATGTAGGTTTTAGGAATTAAACTTCCTTGATTGTATTGAGCCATACGGCCAGAATATATATACAGAGTACAATAAACAAACTCCCTGTGTAAATCCTAAAAAAATAGGATCTATACAACTACAATACTTATCTACTAATTAATAAAGTCTAACCACTCTGTAATCTTATGTAATCTTATCTACAGCTACATACGTACACTATCTAATGATAAATATTAAATGTAACATTTTCTACAATTACATTTTAAGTTTAATCAATAGAAAAATAACTTTGATTTTATAATTGAAATGATCTAGAAAAAAATATTGATACATGCATTAAAGCGTAAGAAATGGTAAATCAAAGGAAAATTATTTGAAAATAAAAAGGATATATTAGATTTTAATTATAAAATTATTTGAAGAAAAAATTAAAAGGTACATCTCTATATATTAATACTTTGTAAATAACTTTTGTCTTGTTTAACCACATGAATACTATCGCAATAATTAAAGATTTGATTTTTGAATTGCAATAGTATATGTATGAGATTACGATTTTTAGAACAATATTATGATACTAATCCATATATATGGTACATATTATATTTGTATTAATGCTAAGATAAGTTAAAGTTTATTATCTATGCAATAAATTGTTTTTATGGAGTGTCAGGTGTAAATTAATTATGTAATTTAATGTCAACAAACATTTATATTTTGGATTCACTTCACATGATCTAAAATTGTTTCACTAGTGTGTCTGGTCTTTAATTTCATTTGATATTTTCCAAAGCCGAGTTGTAATTATCTAACAAAGATAATTTTTTTTGGAAGAATCTAACAAAGATAATTAAACATTACAAAACTGGGAATTTTTATATAATAAGTTTCCTAAGTTTTAAATAATGAGTTGCTTCTATTGTTTATTTGTTTGAGTTATGTAAATTATTTTAGATGTTTCTTCTTTTAAATCTAAAATTAAGTATTACATAATGTAACACTATATATTAATTCTAAAACAAAGATATTAAGGGGGGCGAACACACATATATATCTAACTAAAGTATGAAGTTTTTGTAAAAATATTACATACGAAGTATGTAATAGAAAATTTTGAAAGTCCAAGGGGGGCGGTCGCCCCCCCCCCCCAAATCCATCCCTGGGAAGACCTGTATCAACCATCTATCCTTACCTATGAGGGTCGAAGATATGCTCTTGTACTGGAAAGAAACAAAGAATGTTTTAAATCTTTGTTGGGAACAGTTCAAGAATGTGAGTTGGGGGATATAGGGGAGATTGTGCACCTTCGTTCATCAAAGAGAATTTTGGAAGGGCTGAATAAGTTTTATGGCTTCAGATTTAGTGATGATATTTCTGTTGAATGTGACCAAAATGGATTGGGGGTAGTAATTACTGGGAATTGTAAGAAAAAAAGGTGGTATTGCTACTAATGTTGAGGCAGAGGTCGGATGCTTATCAATAATTTCATACCTGATCTATTCACAAATGCATTAATCGTTGGTGAAAATGGTAACGGAAAGGCAGTAGTTGGTAAACCTGTTCAATGGGGAGGTGCAGATTTGGATTATAGGTTTCCTATGACAATTGCTGATCTATGGGTTAAGATACTCAGGAAAAGAGAGAAGGATTGGGAATTAAGTGACAGTATTCACTATTCACACACTTACTAATAGAAGTGGGATGGAGAAATATGTTGGAAATGTTGACAGTCAGGACCAAGAAATTAGGGGTGAAGGTGTTGTGTTATGTCGGGGTACCTTAGCAAAGCAATTGAGGAAGAATGATCCACAGATCAGTGCAATTGAAGGACCAGTCTTCACCCACTCAGATGTCAAACCCAGATTGGCAGTTAAGGGAGGCAGTATGATACTTTCTGCAATTTGGGACTACTCTAATTCCAGACTGAGATGGGCTGATAAGTTTACTCTTGAATACCAGTTGAATACAATCTGTGTGGACCTGGACTTTACAAATTAAGCTGTTGTAATTGATGTTTCCAACAGAGAGCATCTCATGGATTTATTGTTAAAGCCAGAAATTGCTACTGGTGTCAAAAGTGATGGAAAAGGGCTGGATGGACTGCATACTCTCTATGGAGCTGTTCAACGAGTAGTTTACACCTATATTTTTCTTATGACGCAATCCAAACAGGAGACTGATTTATGGGATACATGATTAGAAGTGGGTAGCTTGTTTTGGGACCTCTTGGCTATGCTCAAATTTGTAATCAATGAGGTTTTTCAACCATTAGCTAGGGAATTTTTGAAGAGGTTGATTGATCAAACAGGTGAAGTTTGTATGTGTGTTCTTGAAAAGGTTAAAACTGGTTTGCTCTATGATCCATTTAGAGCTGAAATTCCTCAGATTATGTCTGCCTTATGTAAGAGACTGCTGAATTTGGATGAAGATCTTTGTAAGCAAGTTGCTGTTGCTCTTAATGATGTAGCATGCTGTACCTTATCCTCCATAGATTTTGAATGGATCAAGCTCGTTGCTGAGAGTCTTAGAGATAAATATTTGCTGGAAAGTTTCAAGTATGATTGGATCCCTGGGAAGATGTTGATCTGCTATTATAACGGAGATTTCAAATCAGATGGTTTTGAACTGATTCCAGGTCTTGATTAAATTGAGGTCAATTCTTTGGAAAAGATGTGGGAACAAAAGCAAGGGATACAACACGAGATGCAGATACGGGGAGATTTTTACAACACCAGGGAGCATTGTGCCTCCATGCCTTTACTTCTGCTCTTTCCTGCTGAGAAAGACTTGAGGATGAAGGTTTCAGTACCAAAGCTAAAGGCACAAAATGCAGCGATGTACTAGGAAGGGAGAGGCGCCAAGATGAAGATAAAGTTGAAGGCTAAGGTTGTTTCCTATCACCCACCTTGAGGACAAGGTGGTTGTTGTTCAAGGGGGGAGATATGATAGGACTCGGGCAGATTAGCACTGATAACAATAATAATAATAATAATAATAGAAGAGTTAGTATAAATAGATGGTGAGGGGAGAATAGAGAGGAGGCTGGAATTATCATCTGGGCTTGGGACTTTGGAAACTGTCTTGTATTTTCTCTCTCTATTTTCTGTTATACGAACTACCTCCATTGTTATACCTATCAAGGGCCTATTTGGAACTTGGAAAATGGTATGGGAAAAACAGGGAGGAACATATAGGGGAAATTTGAAAGGAAAGAAAAATTTGAGGAAATTAAAACATTTGTTCTTAACTTCTGGCGCACAATTTTTATATTTTATATGGAAGTTATTTTCAAACTCATTTTAGTTATTTATGTAATTAGTTTACCCATATAATGACTAAGTCGTTGAATTAAAAAATATTTAGAATGACTAAACTGATATTTTGCAGAAAGACAAAATAACTTCATTTGCATTTCTCCTCCTTTCCCTAGTATTTTCCGAGATCCAAAAATACTCTTCCCAGTTGCCATTTAAGACCATCATATTGGCCCTTCGTTTCTTTGGTTGGTATCAGGATGAGCGAGAAGAGGCTCTAGAGGAGTTAAAAGCTACTGAACAGAAACACATGGAGTTGAAGGTTGATACTCTATGATCACATTTTGGATAGTAAAAAGCACGTTTCTTCAGGCAATATTTGAAAAGGGAACTATTCTACAATAAGTAGTTCATGCATGGATTATTAATTTTTTCAGGAAGAGTTGGCACAGTATGCAGACAACGATCCTGCTACTATTGAAAAAATGAGTTAAGAATCAATCATCTAATCCTTCTAAGAATTCATCTGAAGTGTTACATATACAAAGAAGTGCCCGCTTTTTCTGCACAAAAAGATATCAGATCATTCTAAGACATTGCTTTCATTTGACAGAGAGTGCAGTTCAAGTCGCTCATGCTGCAGCCAACAGATGGACAGGTTTCACTTTTCGTCGCTGAGTTATTACCTTTATTTCTTTTAGAGGCTGTGTAAAACTTCCCCATTTAGGATCCCTTTTGGAACTGGGAAAATGCTAGGGAAAAAAACAGGAAGGAAAAACCTTTAAGGAAAATTTGAAAGAAGGAAATTGCGGGGGGGATACAGATAGGGTTGAAGCTCAATAAATATATTTTTGGATATTTGCTGGTTCTTATTTTTCTTAAGCATGTCCATTATTTGAAGGTTAAGAAATACTACCTCCATCCCCTAACATTGGTACAAGAAGAGGTTGCATGGTTACTAAGAAAAGTGAGTTTATGTGGTTGGTATTGAATTGATAAAGCGAGAATAAAGTAAGAACAATTTAGAACCACACTAACATTACCAACTTTGGTACAAGACAATCTTAGTGGGACGGATCAAAAGGCAAAAACGGACAATTTTAGCACGACGGAGGGAGTATAAATGTATGTAAAATTAAGCAAGAAAGTAATCATGTTCTGTTTTGTGTTTCATTTTCCAAGGTAAAGAACCAAATATAAGATAACAAATTAACATTTCTTCCCCTTGGCATTCTCTGAGATCCAAACATTACCCTTGAAGTTTAAATTCCTGAGAAATTAATTCCCAAGAAAAGGTAACTTTCTGTGGGGGATTCTAGTCGTCCTATGGTTGAATATGTTTCCATTATATACAAGGAATTGATTGAACCTTTTTAAGTCAAGGTCATTTACCAGACACCAGAATCACCAACTTCCTAGGGAAGTACTTTTACTGGTACAAACATGCTGTAATAGTTCAGAGGGAGTGGACTTGTACGAAGCTTGCTTTGATTGAACAAATGCTTTTGGGTAGTGCAGATAACATCTTCACTCTGAGAGAATGGTGTTCCAACAAATTTCCTCAGGCCAAAGAGCAACTTGATCACCTTTACAATGAGGTAATACTTTTCTGGACTCAAGTCCATCATAGTAAGACTTGAAATCCCCATCATAGTAAGACTTTTGAAATCCAGGATTAGAACATATGTTAAAAAATATGGAGTGTCTGTGGTGTTGGTCTTTGACTACAAATATTTTCCAATGACAAATGACTTGGTATACATTTTGTTTCAGGTGGGTATCACAGACGAGCTCGACTATTTGGAGCTACCTGTGGCGGTCCCCCATCTCCCTGGCAAAGACCAGATAGTGTGACTAGTGAGTGAGAGACTCAATTTACGTGTTCTAAAAAAATGCTTTCCATTTGCAAAAAATTGTTTTCTGTACAACCACTCTCTGCCTGTCAGCCAAACTGGGCATAGTTTTCACTTGAATGTGTGGTGTATGCATGCATACATGCTCTCTTGTTGAATCATTAAGCCAGCATGATGAGTACAATTGGATGTATCGACTATACCAGTGGTTTAATTTAGGGCGGTTATCATTATACAATATATGCTTGTGGCATCACATTCGTCTGATCTTGGTCTATTCTTTGAAGTTTCACCTTTATATCATCGGCGCTCAAATTGATGTCTAGAGTATACAATTGATATTTTTGCCATATACTTGATTTTCTTTGGGAAAATTATCAAATAGACCCTCCTATTGAATCAAATTTGGTAATGACACCCGAGCATCCAAATATTTAATTGATCACATAAATTTTAAATCCACATCAAATTCCTACAAGTGGCATGTTGTTTTTAGTTTGCATGCAACCTTGCAATGTGGGATAAATGTTTTATTCGTCTCTCCTTTTTTTCTCTTTTATGTTTACGTGCTTCTTTGGTCCTATCAGGGCATTATTTTCATGCCATAGTTGCTGAAGTGTCACGATTAGGGGGTGGACACGGTCTTCGAACAGGGACCGGGCATTAAGGTCCTTGGGGGGGGGGGGGGGTAGAGGTATTTGGTCTCGGGCTCCTATTTTTCGCACCGGATCCGCAACAACTAGTTTATATGTTTTATAAATAAGCAAAATCGCACTTTGTCTCTGAAATAGTCATCATATTAAAATGTCAGATCCGTGTTCCCTAGTTTTTAAATGTAACCCCCAATTGTTCAAATTCTCTCAAATGTGGTCCTTTGAGGAGTGAAATGTTGTCTTTGGAGTTACGAAGGTGTAGCTGGCGCACATATTTTGTTTTCTGGGTTATGTTTTTTGGCAGCTATCTGGCATTGGGTGTATTGGGATCTAGAAGTCTTTTGTGATGAACGGACTAGAAAACCCTCTTTGGATTTACCTAAGATCTATACTTGTAACGCCCCTCTCAGGGTTAAAGGAATCGTTACACTAACTTACTACTTTTAAAAATAACTGCAATTAACGGCCGTCTATTTAAGAAAATAACCCTGATAAAATCTCAAATATAATTAAAGTATAACTCTTGATAAAAACTCAATAAAATATAGTTATCACCAGCACATGTGATAACCACCTGGATCCAGGAATTTGCTAAAACTTCAAATCCTCAAATAAAAAAAAATAAAGTAATATAAGTCACTTTATTATAACACTGAAATACTGAAACCAAATATTATCTAGCTAGAAGCCACCAAGGTCGTTCCCGTTAACTCATCTTGGCACGCGTTCCACTCCCTCGTCATCTTCCTAGGCCTTGGCCTTACCCTTAGTATCTGTACATGCGAAGAAAGAAAACTGATAAGCTTTATGCTTAGTAAGTCACTATGGCTCCACAAAAATATCTAGAAGTCTAGGTCAATTTATCAATAGATAAATTAGGCTATAAGCATGCACTGAACAAATAACTAACACATAACTTCTCAAATACATTCTGAGTGAGATCTCAAAAGGAAAATATTTTTCTAAAATAATTTCTCAAAACTGTTGGAGAGATCTCAAAATTTCTTCTCAAAACATCTCTGTAAAACTTTCTAAAAGAGATTTCAAAAACGTCTTTCTGTAAAACTTTCTGAAAGAGATCTCAAAAACAACTTTCTGTAAAACTTTCTGAAATAGATCTCTTATACTTTCTGTAAAGCTCTTTATACATTTCACCCCTCAAAGGACCACATTTATAGCAATTTAGAAAATTGAGGGAGTGACATTTACAATCTCAGAAATACAGGGTTGACATTTCAATATGATGACTATTTCAGAGACTAAATGCATGATTTTCCTTATACATACATATATAGGTTTTGGATAAAATAAAAACCACTTTTAACGTGAAAACAGCAAAGTGCTCACTTTTTCCCCAATGTGATGATCTTTAAAGGTGATTTGTTGCACTTTTTAGACTTTGGTCAAGACATGTCAAATAAAAAAAAATGTGGTGGCATTTCCGTAAATAAGTCAGGTTCAAGTCAGGAACTCTTGACCGGAATCGCCGTGTGAAATTCATTATTTAGGGTGGTTTCCGGTGGAATTTTTTGATGATATGTGTTGATCATGTTCATCATTAAGTCTAGTTTATGCATCAAATTTCAGATCAAAATTCAATTAGGAGGCAGTTGATTTTTTTTTGTACTCTAGGTGGTCTGGGAGAGGGGTTCTGGAGTAATCAGGGTTAAGTTGAAACTCATTCCATTGAGCTTCGAACCCGAGACATCCCATAAGGGAGAGTGAGTCGGCGACCAGCTGGACTGGACCGCTTCCTCGGGAGACAATTAACTAATTTATTGAAACATACTGCACATCCTGTACATATATAAAACACAATATATTTCAAGAATTTATTTAGTTGTCTTCCCGATTGAATTTTGAACTAAAATTTGGTATGCATAAACTAGACTTGATGAAGAACATGCTCAAAAAATCGCATCAAAAGTAAATGTCAACATTTTATTGGGGATCCTCAAACAACAAACTTAAACAACATTGGATTAAGTGGTCAGATTTGTGCCTTCCTACAAAAGAGGGAGGTCTGGATATTAGTTAGGGCAGGTGGAAAAAGCTTTTACTTTGAAGCTTTGATGGAAATGGAAGAAAAGAGGTTTTTTTGTCTGATTTTTTCAAAGTTAAATATCCTAGGGGTGATAACATGTTGCCTAAGGTTTTTGATTCATCTATCTGGAGGAGAATCTGCTCTATTACTTCTGAAGCTTTAACTTATTGTGTAGTTGATCAGCATGGTAAATTGATATGGGCTGCTGAGGAGGATGGTATGTTTTCTTTTCAATCTGCCTTCCAACTGGTAAGAGCACAAAAGTTTTCCACCTTCTCATTTAAGCATTGTTGGCACCCCAAACAAGTATAATAAAGCTTTATAGTGAAAAATTCTTAATAATATTCTTCCTACTATAGATAATCTAAAAAGGTTTCAAATGGTGTTAAATCCTTCTATCTGCCCCATGTGTAGAGCTCATGCCGATTCTATGAACCATTTTCTTTTTCAATGTAAGGTGGCTCAACGAGTATGGGTGTATTTCATAAATATTTGTGGGATCCCTAATACTGGCTTTGACAATACTATGAGACAATCCCTTATATCTTGGTGGCTCAAAGCAGGGAGTAACAAGGTTTTAGATCTGTTCGAACATAATTTACCCGGAACCATAGATTGGCATCTATGGAAATCTTATTCAGGTTTGATTTGGGGATCGGACAAGGTGGTACCTACCCCACCACCATCGTCATCATCATCATTAATGCTCCTAACCTCCTAGAAAAACAGCTATGTCACTAGAACCATCCGTAATAATCTCATTAATGAGTATGCTTTAATTTGTGGTTGAGATTTTGTAATGGTTTTTTGGCCGTTTAATAAGATTTCATAGTTTTTGATGTATTTTGTAATTAGACAATGGATCTAATTTGTTGTCCATATTAAAAGACTAATTGTTTCTACAAGTTGTTTTTATTTTTATTTAGATTTAGGCTAAAGAGTCAAATAGACCCTGAAACTAACTTAAAAAGTGCAATTCACCCTTTATATAGGAGGCTCAGTCCGGCCATCACCAATTAGAGTGGTTCCCAGTGGAATATTTGTATGAAATTTTTTGAGCATTTTCTTCATTAAGTCTAATTTACTCATACCAAATTTCAAACCCAAATCATCAAACCAGAATAGATCTTACCAGACCAAATTTAAACAATAATCAAAATACATATAAAATGGAGAACTAACAAACTATACAAAACCCCTTCAAAATTTAAATCAAACCAAATATAAACACAACACATAAAAAGTTATAGTTTAATTTAAAACATCCTCAATCGCATTTTTGAACAAATTGTGAACTCAAAATTTTAGCATAATTGCATGGATGAATAAGAAAGTAGGTAAACAAATTCGTGTAATTAAATAATTTATTCATTACTTGGTACCATTTATATTTACAAAACTAGTTGGTGAAAATTATATATAAAAAGGGTGTTTGAATCGCAAAATTGAAACATTTACACTGCTATGAAAAATTGATGGGTTGCAGAATTTCATGTACAAAATTTCATTTCATCATGCTCACATATATTTACTGTTAAGTGTATTCTAGTAATAAATCTTAATGAGTATTGTGATTTATAGCATTAAAAGTAGAAAATAAACTACATATACGGCGTAAACTACTAATTAAACTCCATATATTTGAAGATAATGGTCCTAACCATAAATTTTCTGGATGCGAAGAGTATCAAACACGCACTATATGGTTAAAAATGGCCTGAGTTAGCCAGAAATCAAGGACCTTTAATCAGTTGGCGATTGTATTGGTACAAGTTATAGTTGGACTCTAAATGTAGCAGAGAGCTGAGCTTGCCATTTCAAATCTTTAAAACAAACTTAGCCAGCCACCAGGCCAGTCAGAAACTTCCTAAATGAAGTGAATAACTCATACTGGTTTATTGATGGCCCACGGAGCACCTGCCATCACAGCTTCAATGTCTTCAATCTTTCGAGGGCATTTAGTCATGTTTATGCAGCCATCTGAGGTCATCCGCTGTAAATGTAAAAAAGGGATAACACATGCATAATTAATCAGGTCGAATCATTCCAACCTCTTTGAGGTGGCGAACATTAACTGACTCCACTCATTATTCTAATTTTAGCCTTTTTACTATATTGTCAAGCATTCTTCAGGTGATAGACACCCAAAACTAATGCACAAATTCTTAAATTTGGTCTCAAGTACATCTGCAATAAATCATCAATCATACTTTTTTAAAACTATTTTGTTAGTCTACCAAGACATATCACATGTAGGATGTAGCTTCTATGTGACTGATGGTTTTTTTGGCAAACCACATGAAAAAAAGTTTCAGTTGGTGAAACCGGACTATGTTAGAAACACAATTCTTGTTTTGAGGAGCAGGGGGTACAAACCATGTTTAACCATCTAGTCTAGTCTATTGTAGTCAAAATCCAAGAATGGTTAGAAAAAGACTTGCACTGTTTTTACTTGGACGGTTTTCAGTCCCAGATCAGACCAGACCAAACTTGAACAGTTTTAAAATACACAGAGACCAGACATTTACCTACCAATTCAGACCAGACCAGACCAACAAATTTCAGACCAAACAAAAACGTCCTTACAACATCACTCTCAATTCTGACGCCACCGGAACATCTGAATCTACGGATCTCCTCATGAATAAAAAATGGATGTTTTTGAAGTTTCCATTGCAGGAAGTAGTAACGCGTTAATGAAGTAAATCCAAGATTGGTTAAGAAAAGACTTACAACATCACTCTCAATTCTAACACCACCGGAACATCTGAATCTGCGGATCTCCTCATGATTGAAAAAAATGGATGTTTTTGAAGTTTCCATTGCAGGAAGTAGTAACGCGTTAATGAAGTAACATCCCGGTTCCACTGTTATCACCTGCAAATATAATACCTCCTATATGAGCAGGTAAGAAAGGCCGTTGTGCAATTGTGTAATTGTGAACAAAGCATGAATGCGCACAAGACAATTGTTATATAAATTGCTAGGCACCAAGAGTCCAAGCATAGGTCTGATTACATTTAGTCCCTCAACTATACACTATAACTCAATTTGGTCCTCAACTTCTTAGTGATTCAATGTGTCCCCCAACCATGCAATTAGGACCCAATTTAGTCTCATACATATTTAGTTCTAAATGAAGAGGAACTTTTCTTTGATTCGCTAAAGGAGACCTAATTTAGGACTCAATCCGGGTTTCAACTATGTAATTTGGACTCAATTCAGTCTTCAGCTGACGAAAACACCATTCAATTTTAAAGTAAAATATGGAGGATTAAATTGCGTGTAAGTTGCATAGTCGAGAACCCAATTGAGTCCTAAAGAAAGTTGAAGACCAAAATGTGTACAATAGTATATAGTCAAACGGTCAAGGCACTAACTGTGATTAGCTCTTTACGGAACAGAAAAACAGGAGGGAGATCTGAAGTCTATAGTAAGTGAACGAATGCAACACCATTCCTTCCGAGAGTTCCCTGCATGTACGTAGAGCACTCAACCCTGGTTCTTTTGGTCTCTCCTCTCCCTGAAATTGAGTCAATTTAATCGTTTTGCGGAATGTCACATGAGAATATTATGAACCACATTGACAGAGACATTCTTTCTGGTTTAGATCGCAATTTGTCTAATTGCGTGAGAGATGAGGAGTAACCTTCTTGAAGCCTCCAACATCGTGAGTATCAATACCAAGGAAGTGACCCAGACCATGAGGCATGAACACAGCCCCTAATCTCTCATTCATCATTGTCTCAACATCACTGAAAGTGAAAACCAGAATAGCAAATATCATGTTGAAAAAAAATCCCATTTCCAGACCCCACTCCCCCCCAAGAATCATGGTTTTAAAACTCTAGTTTAATTTTAAGGAAAATTAACGGAATGGCTTGTGGCAACTAATTTTAGGAACCTAATGGAATAAAGCAAAATGACTCATTAAACTGTCTGTGCTTCTTTGTTATGAATCAGCAGTCAATCAATGCAATTTTGGACGCGATTCTCACTATGGATCATCCAGAAACAGACTCTTTGTGCTTTAGTACAGAGGTAAGACTGCGTACATTCGACCCCCCTTACGACACCGTAGGTGGGAGATTTTGCGGCACTGGGGTAATGATGATGATGACTTCAAAAATCATACAAAATAAATTATTGGCACCGGCGGAACTAGGGGGATGAGCTGGCGCCCCCTTTGCAGTTCGCTAAAAATGCAGGGTATGAATTTCATCAAAGAGCATATGGAAATTGTTATGATACATTTAAATGATCACAGAGACATTGATGTTTTCCAATAATAGGGTTCTAGGCCCAATACCCGGGTACTACAAATAATTAGTCTTATTAAGTATTTTAATGTTTTTCCAATAATAGGGTTCTAGGCCCAATAGCTTAAGTGAGGGCTGGCCCTTTTAGTGAGTTTTATTATAAAAGAGGGGTAGGGGAAAGAATAACAAAGGCTGAAACTTGGGAACTGGGATCGGAACTGGGAGTGAGAGACCACTCAAAGAGTCTCAAACCTTTACTTTCGTAATTTTCTGTATTCCAACCTTTAATCTTCAATAATACACTGCTTTTATCTACTGGGATTCCTCCGTTACTTATCATTTGGTATCAGAGCACCTGTGTATGGTACTCACTCGACTGAACATGGAGCAGACACTGGACAGTTTGGAACGATCGTTTGAACGATCAAAGGAAGAGATGCGAACAGAGTTGGGAGCGATGAACGAGTCGTTGCAGATGCTGTTGGAGAAGATACAAAATCTCGAAACTCAGGGAAATCGCAGGAAAAGAAGAGGACGATCGGCCACCCTCGCCGGCGCCACACTTCTGCCAGTGTGAGTTCGTCCAGTTCAGGAGGTAATTCTCATGATTCTAAATCCGTTTCTCGTACTCCTGAGCATACGAGAATTAACGATCGGGTTTATACCGGAAGAAAGGTGGATTTACCTTTGTTTAGTGGAAACGATGCTTACGGTTGGCTTCTCAGGGTGGAACGCTATTTTAAATTAAATCATGTATCGGAGATTCGGAGGGTGACAAAGTGGAAGTTGTCCTGATAACCATGACCGAAAGGGCTCTGAACTGGTATCAATGGTGGGATGAACAGACTGATGACCACTCCTGGGGTAATTTTAAGGAAGCTTTGATCAGACACTTCCAGCCAGAATTGGTTCAGAACCCGTTTGGCCCTATGCTCAAAATTAAGCAAACTAATTCAGTCATGGAGCACAGGAATCATTTCGAAAGGGTTGTAGCTCCCTCAAAATTGCTGACCAGAGATGCTAAAAGGAGTATTTTTTAATGGCCTCAAAGAAGAAATTAGCTCAGAGCTGAAGTTGCACCGGCCCACTGGGTTAACTGATCTTATGGACACAGCCCAGCTAGTTGAACAGAAGAACAAGGTATGGACAGGAGAAACAAATAAAGAAGAAGACAACAAAGGCTTGAAGGAACAGGGAGGAAAACTTGTCAGAGCCTGGAATTGGGTGGAAGCGACAAAGGGAAGAACAACTGCTCCGGAGAGAACACTCTCAGAGAACAAACTGGAGGAATCGCCAAAACCAAATAAGACATGGGAGAGTGGCCAAAGGTTGACACAAGCAGACTTAGAAGAAAGAAGCAAGAAGGGCCTATGTTTCAAATGTGGAAACAAATGGGGCAAAGAGCATGTATGTGGAATGAAAAATTATCAACTTATCTGGATGGAAGAGCCAGAAGAAGAGAAGGGAACAGAAGATCAGTTATATGAAACTATGAAAGGGATGAAGCTGAACAGAAGATCAGTTATATGAAAGGGATGAAGCTGAAAACCTGCTGAAACCCAATGGAAAATCAGTCTCTTATCATCCACCTTGAGGACAAGGTGGAAGTTCAGGGGGGGAGTGATGATAGGGACCCGGGTACTACAAATAATTAGAGTCTTATTAAGTATTTTAATGTTTTCCAATAATAGGGTTCTAGGCCCAATAGCTTAAGTGAGGGCTGGCCCTTTTAGTGAGTTTTATTATAAAAGAGGGGTAGAGGAAAGAATAACGCAGGCTGAAACTTGGGAACTGGGAGTGAGAGACCACTCGAAGAGTCTCAAACCTTTTCTTTCCGTAATTTTCTGTATTCCAACCTTTAATCTTCATTAATACACTGCTTTTATCTACTGGGATTCCTCCGTTACTTATCAGACATGATGGAGCACTAATACATGTTGACGAAACCATTCTTTCAAAAGTGGCATTGGTAGTTTTCTTGACGAAGTATGGATTATCTATATCAAAGTTAGAGGTCAAAGATATGATGAGACTTCTAATATGTCTGAGCTTAATGGATTGAGAACTTTTATATTGAATGAAATTCCATACACAAGATACATTCATTATTTTTATAGTATTGCTTTAGGTCTCTACCATCACCCCCCTTGAACTACCACCTTGTCCTCAAGGTGGGTAGTAAGAAACTGATCTGGCATCTGGTTTCAGCGGGTTGTCTGCTACGTCCGGTTCAGCAGCATCACTTGTTCCCGTCTCTTCTTATGGTCCTTCCATCAAGACGAATTGATAATGTTTCATTCCACAAACATGTTCTTTACCCATTTGTCTCCACATTTGAAGCACAAACCCTCATGCATCTCAATCTGTTTCAGGTACTCCTGATAATAAAGGAATCAGCAATCATCCATCAAGGCTCGCATCTCTGTTCGCATCTCTTCCCTTGAACGCTCCAGTGATCGCTCCAAATTTTCAGTCCTCTATTCCATGTTTGACCGAGTGAATACCATACACACGTACAGTTCTCGTTTTGCTTTTTACCAATTATAGGAATCAGAAGTCCAGAATAGTAAAAAGAAAAACAGTTGTCGGTTGAGAAGAAAATACTGAAACGATAAAGAAGATAAACAGTTTGAGACTCTTCGAGAGGTCTCGCTCTCCCAATTCCCAGTCCCGTCTATGTTTTTGCCTCCCCTTCTACTCACAGCTCACCCCTATTTAAACTTATTTTAATGGGCCAGCCCACTTCAATTTAGTTATAGGACCTAAATCCCTTTTATTGTGCAATATTAAAAGACTTAATAGAATTCTTATTCTAGTATTGTTTTAGGTTTCTATCAAGTGTAATTACAATAGGAACATGATTGAGTCAAGAAAGTAGTTTAGCTCGGCTGGAAGCTACATGTTAGGGTTCACATACCACAAACATTGTTCATGTTATTTATATATGGTCTCCTACAATGCATGTTTATGACAATATATTTAATGATGAAACTAATTTCAAATCAATGGGCGTTTCTAGTAGCTTTGAAGGGCGAAATTGCGAATTGCTAAGGCAGAAGGCTGAAAGACGATTGATTTGGGACAGAGGGAGCTAATGCCGATGAACTGGAGAACTATGGTCTACAATGTAGAGAAGCAAGGACGGAAGTCTACAACAGCGGGCTGAACACTTTGCTCAAGACCACAACTCTCAAGTGATTACGGCAATTAATATTTACAATTTCTTTTTGTGAAAGATGAAAAAGTAGATAAAATTTTGTGAATATAGGTACTTTGATCCAGTGATTTGTGGCATTTTATAATGTATGGAGTAGCATATTATTTCTTGGGATTTTGGAATATTGATGTATTATTCCCTATACCTATGTGTGTTTCAATTTGATGCAATATTATATTTTACCTTGTGAATAAGCATTGTTATGTATGTTTAATAGTTATATGAAATATTTCACCCTGATTTTATAAATTATTGATGGATCAATCTTTAATACCAAGTGGCGAGTCTTCCAAAAAGTCTAGTCAAGAAAATAAGAAGAAACATTCTCGAGTAAATGATGTGTTTGTAGAAAATCAAATTTGAAGAGAGTATTGAAGTAGAGGTCTTTGTAAACCGATTGGGCACATTTTCCCAGGAAAAAGCAGTGTAAAGACTTTAGGAGTTTTAAACAGGTTTGATAAATTTCCATCATTGGAATATAGGGGGTGTTTGGAATTGATTCTGCTTCTACTTCTTTTTTAAAGTAGAAGCAGAATCAGAATCAGTTTTCAGAAGCTGGTCCCCTCCAGCTTCTAAAAAAACTGATTCTAGGAGTAATTAGAGCAACAGAACCACTTCTACACTTTCACCCAAACACTCCGACTTCTGCTTCTGCTCCTTCAGGGAGCATGAAGGAGCAGAAGCAGTTTAAGAATCAGATCCAAACACCCCCATAGAGTATTAAATGAATGCGGTGATATCTTTTTAAAAGCTCAAATAAAGGGTGTCAAATTGGAATATCGTCATTTATTAATATGTGGTAAGTAATTAGAAAAAGCCCTCGAAATATTCAACACATGTTGGAGTGTAAATAGTATTTAGTTCTAAAAATCGCTTTAGGTGTCCGACTAGTTTCTCCCTAGGCACTAGGCGGTGGCCGGACACCCCGACTAATTGGTTTGGCACCTAGGTGAATTAGTCGGCCGCCTAGGGCACCTAGTTGCCTACCCAGAGTACTTAGTCGACCGTCTAGGGCGTCTAGATTCACCAAACATGTTTTTAGTGCTTTTTTATATTTGTTATCTCGCTAAGAGATATATGCACCTTTATTTTTAACAATGCATATAAAGAAAGCTACTAGTTGTAGATTAAAATAAAAAACAAACATGCTTGTATATAATCTTAAATGTTATTACTAATTAATAATATATTTATTACATAATGAAATTAAGTGAGTAGTTGTTAATCCTGTGATATATTATTAAATGTAACAACTCTATCATCCATGCATGTTAATCTATTTATTTTTTACACACAAACATAACATTACTAATCATATTTATGAAAAAACATTGATAAAATTATAATTTTTATGTCTCCGAGTAGTTCCCGCCTAGGCGCTGGGCTGGTGCCCGACTAGCGCATAGCTCCTTTCAGAACATTGTTATTTACAATGACGCACGCATAAAATTGAAATCAAAGAAAAAGTGTGTCCAATTGCTCAATGCCCATGGACACGAAATAGAAGTTTCCTATCACGCATGGTTAACCACGGTTATAGATGTAATAAGTTTTCTTTTGAAACAAGGTTTACCCTTCAAGTTCTTCAAATAAAGGAAACTTTATTGACATTCATTGAATGGCATACCCAAATGCCAAAAACATTAATGAAAATGCCCCGCACCCCTAAAAATTATCTAATTCTACTACTGGTTATAGTACGGGTAAAAGTTCCCATTCATAAATTGTAAAAGATTGTATCTTGATTGAGTTAACTAAAAATAAACAGGTGTACCTTACTCAAATAGGAGGAGTAACCCAAAAGCCTTATATGGTGTTTAATTGTTTTATAGTTTTTTGATGTGGGACAAATGCTTTAACACGCCCCCTCAGTCCAAACTGGGCTGGACAATATCAGGGTGTATAAACGAGCCAAACAAACTCTTTGCAAGCTACCCTTAATCATGGGTGCTAAACAAGCCGTCAAACCACAACCGGAATTGGCTCTGATACCATATTAAGACCCGGTGTTCAATCCTAAAAGGTAACTCATAAGAGGAGTAACCCCAAAACCTCATATAGTGTTTAATTGTTTTATAGCTTTCCGGTGTGTGACAAATGCTTTAACAAGAGGGAAAACTTTCTTCAACAATATAATCAATTGCATGGACTATGAAGTGTTAGAAAGTCAAAGAAGAAGAATTCATACCCTGTTAATAGGTTCCCTTTTTTCAATGACTCTAATATTACTTTTTCTGCTAATCTGCAAAATAAATGCCAAGGAATTTAGGTGACGGTAAAGGGAAAATATGTATCGTGACATAAAATAAGCTAAAGAAATGTTTATTCAAGTTAACCCCATCAAAATTTACAATTTTAAAGTCTTACTTGTGCATATCAACCCAGCAAACTCCAGGTCTCAGATTAGATATAACAGCGTCATGAGCATCAAGAACAGCCTGAAAATATAAAGCAGATGGAAACAAGATAAATCACTAAATCAGTATTCAGCTTCTCAAAGAATGGATAGAACACTCTGTGATACTATGTGATTCAACTTATATAGTGCTAATACCGAAATCTTGAAACATTTACAAATGTTAAGAATAACATCCAGAGATATGCACGGTTTTTGCTGCAATATTACTAAATTAGTACTCGTGGACAAAACAGCGAGTACTTTTAAAAGTTTCATAAAATGACTATACATGTCACTGTTAATGATGCCACCATCCTTTATCACTGCGACACCGTCAAGAAATTCCAATGACTTTTTTGCGGTAGTTTTTTAAATGACTTATTGGAAATTTTCTCATCGGTGGTCGCCAGGGGCGGGGGGAGGGAGTTGAGTGGATGTTGAATGGAGCATAAATTTGAATAAATTTAGTCACTGTTTTGAAAAAAATAAAAATTAATCATTTTTCGTCATCACGACTCTACATAATTTTGCCATTCTTTCTCTTGGAACTATTAATGCCTAACAAAGTAATTACTCACATTATATATGAGAGACTGATCAGAAGTAAATTTTCCATTCACCTGCAAGTCCAATTGAATTGCTACTTGAGAAAAAAATGTGGAGGCAAACACAATGTATTTATGATTCGCATAAAAGGGAAAGAGTTATCAACGGCATGAATAAAAAAGTCACACTCACAGGAAAGGAACAAGTTATATCTGAAGCATAAAAATTGTACTCAGCTCCCATGTCAAGCAGTGCCATATCTCCATCTTGCAATATCTTCAGAAAGAACAAGCAGCAGGACTGTCTAAATCCTTATTTTTGTGAAAAGATCATAATTCTAACATTAAGTTATACTACTAAACCATTTATAACATGGACAAGACAGGCGGAAAATGAACCCCTGAACAATGCATTAAAACATTAAGTTATACTAGTACGCATTAACCATGTACGCATTAGTAACTCCCAGGCGTAGCCTTTAACTTGCATAACATTCTATTCATACAAGATAACTCTCTAATTTGATTAGTTTTACAACAGTTCTCTTTGAACAAAAACATATTGATAGTAATAATGGTGATGGTGATGATGATGGTGATGATGATGGTTGTGAGGTAGATGACGAGAATGACAACAAAGACAATTTCCCCAGTTGAAACATAAAGTATAAACTAGAAATAATATTGGGGAGGAAAAGATTTTATGTATCTTTATTGAAGGATTGAAGTCCCTATAAATATATATAACAAGATAGAATATTCCTATAAAATTCTATATCTTAATAATATCCTAAAGTATATTTATAAATATTCCAAAGCATAATCCTACATTCCTTCTAATATATTTCACATCCCCCAATAAGAGTTCCTACCCTAAACTGCTAAAGAAGTGTACTGAACTAAACTAAGCTTGATTAGAATCAACCTGTTAGGAACCTGGTATAATCTGAGCGTAAACAGTAAACCACCAAACACACAGATCTGATAGAATGATAAGGAAAGAGTGTTTATTGATGGAAGGAGATAAACCGTAGGCTACAGGGACTTCTTAGTCAACCGGGACTCTCAAGGCAACAAGGCAATAACTCAGCATCAAAATAACAGTCTGCCTATTATGGCTACCCCAGCTTCTATTTATAGCAAAAGTCCACGCAGGGACTAATTAGACAACTAAATAAGCTATAGGCACTTTAAAAGCTATTTAACTCCCCTAACCCCCTTATTTTAAAACTACTGATTAGGCTGATGCCTAACATTACTCCCCCCCTACACAACCACCTTGCCCTCAAGGTGGGTGACAGGAGTCCGCTTGCACTTCATTCTTGCACCTCTCCCTTCCCAATACCTCCCGGATTTTTGGACATTTAGCTCACGTACTTGAAACTGCATATTCCTGTTCTTCACTGCAAGGAGCAGAAACAATATCTTGGTGGCAGAATGCTCCCTGTTGCTGCAAAAGTGAGAATCTCGCTGCTGCTGCATCATAGGCAAAATATAGGTGTAAACTACTTGCTGAACAGTTCCATAAAGAGTGTGCAGTCCATCCAGCCACTTTTCATCAACTTTGACATTACTAACACTTTCTGGCTTTAAGGATAAATCCATGAGATGCTCTCTGGTGTAGACCTCAAAAACAACAGCCTGAGTAATAGAATCCAGGCCCTCACTGACTTTATCCAACTGGTATGCAAGATTAAACTCCTCAGCCCCTCTCAGTCTAGAATTAGAGGAATCCCGAATTGAAGAAAGTATCAAACTGTCACCCTTAACTATCATTTCATTGGAGTAAGTGAGGATTGATCCTTCAATTTCCCCAATCTGTAGATCATTCTTCCCCACTTGCTTTTCTAAAGATCCCAATTCCCAATTCTCTTCTCTTTTCCTGAGTATCTGAACCCATGGATCATCAATTGCCATACAAAAACTAAGGTCCAAACCTGCACCTTCCCTTTGAACTAGTATACAATCTATCAGCATTCTCCTTACATTCTCACCCATGATCAAAGCCGCCTGGGGAATAGCTAAATTGAATTCATTATCAATCACCAGAAAGATGTCAACGAGTCCATCAGTAATATAACCAACCTTCTCCTTCCAAATTCCAGTAATTCTTACCCCCACACCTTTTTGGACATACTTCACAGAAATTTCATCCTCAAATCTGTAGCCATCAAACTTATGCAGCCCTTCCCTAACTTCACTTGCTATTACCAACCTTGAGACCTCATTCTCTGCTGGCATTGCTGTTTGCAAAGGCTCTCCATTATTAACAAATGACTCAAGCATATCATCTTTACCAACCAATAGTTTTACAAGTAAGCAGCGGTTTGACCTTTTCCACAATCCTTCAGTATTGGCCACTATCAAGGTAGAAACTGAAGAAGAAAGTTTAGCAGTGTAGGTTGTCAACAGGTGTCCACCATTGATATACTCATATCCATCTCCATCATCTTCAGAGAGAGAACCTTCAGTTATACCTAGTTTCTCCAGAAAAGAATTGTCAACTTTGGTAGCCCTCGGAGCATCCTCTATTTTCTGGAATGCCTCATACCTCCCATTTACTGCCGATGAAACCCGATGCAAACTCTTATGTAAATTCTGCCAATGGACTTCACCTGAGGCATCCTTTGCACAAGGGATATAGAAGTTGACCGCATTCTTTTGTTCTTGTCCATGAGCTCCTTCTTCAGCTTGTAACATGTGTGCAGGTTCCCTTGTTAGTCCTGAGCCACAGGATTTCTTCAAAATAGTAAGATGCCCGACTAACTTCCTCTTTGGTGCCACCTGATAACTGGAGTTTGATTCAGAGCTCGGATCTAATCCACAATCCTTAGTAGCATCAGTATCTGCACGGATCATTCCCTGAAGCTTCTTTCCATCATTACCCTCTTCTATTTTCTCAGTTTCCTCCTTGTTCACCTTCATCTCTTCTTTCCTGGCCTTCTTAGATGCTGTAGTAGATATTAAGTTGGGCTGCCAAGGCATAGCAATTCCTTCAGGGACTGCATTTATCAGCTCAGCACCTTTATAGATTTCAGGAACCACTTGGTTCTCCAATTCAGAATTATTTGGGCCAGCAATCTTGTGATCAGAAGATTTATATTCCATGACTGTCCAGGACTGAGTCACCCCAGAAGATTTCTCCTCTGGTCTTTCCTCATCCTCAATGAATTTATCTTCAGAATTAGGTCGTTGCTGATTAACGAATTCCAAACTGAGCTGTGAAACTTGCCAAGTAAGAGAATCAGCTGGCGATTTCTCCTGGTCTTCATCGTTGCCCTCGTTGATCTTCTTTGCATTTACTCTGGCTCGCGAAACACTTCTATCACCACAGGAAGGTTGCAGCAGGTTAACAGACTCCAAACAGAGCGGTGACGCTTGAGAAGTGTGAGAATCTGCTGGCGCTTGAGATTGAGAAGAAACCTGTGAACTGAGAGAAATTCTAGGCAATAGCATATATTGATTCTCTGTCTTCCGACTGCGTGTAGGTTGGAAATGCCTAGTTATGGATTCCTTCAGAGCCTCCCAACTATATTCCCTCGTCTGAATTTGCCACCATTCAAACCAGTCAAACGCCTCTTCCTCCATAGCTTCTTCTGCTATTTCAACTTTCCTTCCCTCCGCAATAGATTTGAGTCGGAAGTATTCTTCCATCTTAACTATCCATTTGTCTACTTTATCTCCATTAAACCAGGGTAATTCAACCTTACTTCCTGCGCCAATATCTCTTCTACCGCTATCCTGACCCATACTAGAGCGAGAGTGATTGTATTTACCTTCCGACGCAGCTAGACGCTCAGATTCCTTTGTTCGTTGATGTTGAGAGTTGGCTCGTTGTGAAGCTGATTGCAAGGGAGATGAAGATCTGTGAGTAGAATCAGTTCGCAATGAGCTGGAAGATGACGTTGTTGGTGACGGCGAACTGTGCGAAGCTAGAGATGAAGTCTGCGAACGGGAAGATGAAGTTCGCGATTGTAAACTGGAATGATATGTGAGCGTCGATCTCTGCGACTGCGAACTGAGGGAGGGAGTTCGCGACTGACCCTGCGCATTTCGCGATGCCTTGGAAGACTTCGTTCGCATCTGCGAACTGTTAGAAGCCGGACGATGCGATGATCGTGATCTTCCCCTTTGTTCCTTCACGGCGGTAGATGCTGAAATCGCTGCCATAGAATCCGCGATGCACTTTTGCATCTGTGCGGTCATGGAAGCAGCGATGTTTGCCATAGCCGTCTTCATCTCCAGTTCGAACTTATCCAAGCGAGCCTCCATATCTGGTGTCCAATCTTCTTCCATCTCTCCAGATCGTTGATGCTGTTGATCGATCGATTAGGATGCCAGGAAGGAGTGCTCTGATACTGTGAAAACCCTAGTAGTATTGGGCTTAGCCCATTTGTATATCTTGTATAGGAAACCCTAGTATCTTGTATAGGAAGACCTAGTACTCTAAATATAGCTATAAATATAGCCTCTTGTATAGCACTTGAATATCAAGTATATGAAATACAACAACATACTTGTTCACATGGTATCAGAGCCTATACGGCAAATATAGTTAGCTAGTTAGCGTTATAAACTGCCGCTCCGAATCCGGACAGAAGTTCAGGCCATAATTTCCGGCGTGAATAGTGGTCGCAACTCACTTGAGTGCTTTTGGTAGTGATACAAGCCTACCATCGTGCTCAACTCTACATAGCGACTTACCGCCGGAAGTTTCGCCGCCGCTGCCTCAACCACGCGCCGCCGTCGGCCGCTGAAAGTCCGCACCTGCAGGTACTCATCTTTGCAGATCTGCTCCGTCTTAGTCATCTGCGAGCGACACCGACCGGATTTTCAGAAACCTAGGTCCCTGACGACCTAGACCAGTCAGTCCGGTCCGCCGCCGCTTCCACACGCGCCGTCGCCGATCATACTCGCCGCTTCCACACGCGCCGTCGCCGATCATACTCGCCGCCAGAAACGAGCCGTCGGCTCAAAACTCGCCACTACCAGCGCTGCCTTCCACGTGAGCACTCGCCACTACCAGCGCTGCCTTCCACGTGAGCAGACTTGCTCCGCTGCTAGTTCAGTTGCTTAGGTCACGGTAGTATTTCTTTCATATCTATTTGTCGTTTTAATTTTAAACTTGCTGTGCATACGTTTGTGAGCAGATTAGTCACCTTACTCATCTGCCCTGATATTTTATTTGTAAAAAAAAAATACAGAAAAAAGAAACAGAAAAAAAAAACAGAAAAAAAAAATGTCTTCTGGTTTTTCTTCATTTGCTTCAGTTCCTATTATTACAACGGATCGTTTGGTTGGAAGTGCTAATTATCAATCATGGGCTATTTCTGTGGAGATGTGGTTCAAAGGTCAAGGACAAATTGATCACTTGCTTACAGATGCCAATTCAATCAAGGATAAGAAAACGGAATGGGAGAATATGGATGCATTGTTGTGCAATGTTTTGTGGCAATCCGTGGACTCCAAACTTCATCTTACATATCAATCATATCGGACGTGTAAACAGATTTGGGAGAAAGCCAAGTCTAATTACACTAATGATATTCAAAGTCTGTTTTCCTTTGGATCCAAAATTGCCAATCTCAAGCAACAAGAATTGGACATCCAGGATTTTCTAGGCCGGGCTGAGGCTTTACTCTTTGAGTATAATACCATTCAACCTATCACGGAAGATAGAGAGAAACAACTAGAACAACGACAACAACTTGTTATGGTTTTAGCTTTGGCAGGTCTTCGCCCAGAGCTATTATCTATACGTGAACAAATTCTCTCTAGTTCTACTGTTCCAACTATGACAGACGCTTTTTCTCAAATTCTTCGTGCGGCCCCGATATCTGCTGAATTGGGTTCTACTGATTCTACCATTCTTGCATCACCAGTTGTGGGGCCCAACGGAGGAAACAACAAAGGATATCTGCGTCGAAGCCGACCTAAGTGTGACTACTGTCATAAGATTGGTCATACTAAAGATAGGTGTTGGAAGTTACATGGGAGACCTCCTAGCTCAGCCACTGTTGCTCAGATTCCGCCATCTCCGATTGTTCTACCTCCAGACGAATATGCCGCCTATCAGAAATTTAAGTCTGCTAATGTGCCCTTATCTGCACCTGGTACGTCTACCGCTTGTGTTTCAAACACCACAGGCTCATGGATCATTGACTCAGGTGCTTCAGACCATATTTCTGGTAATCCCCATCTTTTATCCCATATTACCAAACACCAACACCTTCCTTTAATTACTTTGGCTAATGGCCATCAAACTTCAGCCACGGGTATTGGGCAAGCACTACCACTTTCATCCTTACCATTACATTCAGTCTTATATGTTCCTAATAGCCCCTTTAACCTTGTCTCTGTTAGTAAAATTACGCGTGCTCTTGATTGTTCTATAACCTTTTTTGCTGATTCTGTAACTGTGCAGGACCGTCGTTCGGGGAAGACGATTGGCGTCGGGCATGAATCTCAAGGCTTGTATCATCTTCATCCTGTTGATCCAATTGCTTGTGTCTCCGTTGAACCTGCATTAACGTTACATAACCGTTTGGGTCATCCTAGCCTCTCAAAGTTTCGACGTATGGTTCCAGGTTTCTCGAGTCTTTCGTCTTTAGATTGTGAGTCATGTCACCTTGGAAAGCAACCTCGTAAATCCTTTCCAAGGCGTGTTAATAAACGGGCTGCGTCCCCTTTTGATTTAGTTCATACAGATGTATGGGGTCCGTATCGAGTCACTTCTACTTTAGGATTTCGCTATTTTGTTATTTTTGTGGACGACTTTTCCCGTTACACATGGTTGTTTTTAATGAAAGAACGTTTTGAATTATTCCATATTTTTCAAACTTTTTGTGCTGAAATCCACACTCAGTTTGGTCATTCTATCAAAGTTTTACGCAGTGATAATGCTAAAGAATTTTTTGCGACACCCTTTAATGAATTCATGACATCACGGGGTATGCTTCACCAGTCTTCTTGTGTACACACGCCTCAGCAAAATGGGGTAGTTGAACGCAAGAATAGACACTTAGTTGATACTGCCCGTACTCTGTTATTACATTCACATACACCACCTCAGTATTGGGCAGACGCTGTACTCACTGCGTGTTATTTAATAAATAGAATGCCTTCCTCAGTTATTGATAATGAGATTCCATATTCTGTCTTGTTTCCTAGTCGTGAGTTATTTCCATTACCACCTCATGTGTTTGGGTGTGTGTGTTTTGTCCATGATTTTACACCTGGATTATCTAAAATGTCAGCTAGGTCAATAAAATGCATTTTTCTTGGATATTCACGAGTCCAAAAGGGTTATCGTTGTTATTCTCCATTCCTTAAAAAGCATTTTATTTCGGCTGACGTCACTTTTATGGAGTCCTCCTTTTATTACCCATTATCTTCTGTTGATACTCCATCATGTTTGGACTTCATCTCATATCTTCGGCCCATCCATACAGAAACTGTTCTTTCCCCTCCATCTGATGAGCACCCCCACTGCCCTCCTGTGGTAGACCCTCCTCCATTACAGGTATACCATCGCCGTCCTCGACCTCCTGCCATTGAGCCTATCGTGGCCACGCCAGTTGATTCCCCTACGACGGTTCATGCATCATCACCATCAACTACCGCACCGCCTGAAAACACTCTGGATGATTTGCCCATTGCCCTCCGAAAAGGTACGCGTTCTACACTGAATCCACATCCCATATATAACTTTTTGAGTTATCACCGCCTCTCTACCCCGTACTATGCTTTTATTTCCCACTTGTCTCATATATCCATTCCTAAAACCACACATGAGGCACTGGCACACCCGGAGTGGCGTAAAGCCATGTTGGCTGAGATGGAGGCTCTTCATTCTAGTGGGACGTGGGACTTAGTCCCCCTTCCTGCTGGCAAATCAGTGGTGGGATGTCGGTGGATTTACACCGTTAAAGTTGGGCCTGATGGGGAGATTGATCGTTTTAAAGCACGCCTTGTGGCGAAAGGGTATACTCAGATATATGGTTTGGATTACACTGACACTTTTTCTCCTGTAGCGAAGATTGCATCAGTTCGTTTGATTTTATCCATGGCAGCAATGAGCCGCTGGCCATTGTTTCAATTGGATATCAAAAACGCATTCCTTCACGGAGATCTACATGAGGAAGTTTATATGGAGCAACCACCTGGATTTGTTGCTCAGGGGGAGTCTGGTATGGTGTGCAGATTACGTCGTTCATTGTATGGCTTGAAGCAATCTCCACGTGCATGGTTTGGGAGGTTTAGTGCCGTTATCTGCAGCTTTGGCATGATCCGCAGTGCTGTTGATCATTCTATATTCTACAGACATTCTGCTGACAACAAATGTATTTATCTTGTTGTGTATGTTGATGACATTGTCATTACAGGTAGCGATGATCAAGGAATTGTGCTCCTCAAGCAACATCTCTTTAGCAAATTTCAAACGAAAGACTTGGGAAAGTTAAGATACTTCCTTGGCATTGAGGTCGCACAGTCTAAAAATGGAATTGCTCTCTCACTAAGAAAGTATGCCTTGGATATTCTTGAGGAAACGGGGTTGCTAGATTGCAGGCCAGTGGATACACCAATGGATCCGAACGTTAAGTTCTTATCAGAACAGGGAGATCATTTGCCCAACAAGGAAAAGTATAGAAGACTCATCGGCAAATTGAATTATCTTACCATCACGAGACCAGATATTTCATTTGCGGTAAGTGTTCTTAGTCAGTTTCTTGATAAGCCATGTACTGGACATTGGGATGCAGCTATCCGAGTTTTGAGATACATCAAGAAAACTCCAGGGCAAGGATTGTTGTTTGAAGATCGAGGCCACCACGATATTTTGGGATACTGTGATGCAGACTGGGCCGGATGTCCGATGGATAGACGTTCCACATCAGGATATTGCATCTTGATTGGTGGAAACTTAATTTCATGGAAAAGTAAGAAACATGATGTGGTTGCCAGATCTAGTGCTGAAGCAGAATATCGTGCAATGGCCCTTGCTACATGTGAAATCTTATGGTTGAAGCATCTCCTCCAAGAGTTAAAATATGGAAACACAAAATCGGCTCAACTCATGTGTGATAATCAAGCTGCAATGCACATTGCATCAAATCCGGTATATCATGAGAGGACGAAACATATTGAAGTTGATTGTCATTTTATCCGAGAGAAGATCACGAGTGGACATATCATCACAAAATATGTGAACACAACTGAACAACTTGCAGATATTTTAACTAAGTCTCTTAGAGGTCCTAGAGTGGGATATATTTGTAACAAGCTTGGTACATATGATTTATATGCTCCAGCTTGAGGGGGAGTGTGAAAACCCTAGTAGTATTGGGCTTAGCCCATTTGTATATCTTGTATAGGAAACCCTAGTATCTTGTATAGGAAGACCTAGTACTCTAAATATAGCTATAAATATAGCCTCTTGTATAGCACTTGAATATCAAGTATATGAAATACAACAACATACTTGTTCACAGATACCAATGTTAGGAACCTGGTATAATCTGAGCGTAAACAGTAAACCAGCAAACACACAGATCTGATAGAATGATAAGGAAAGAGTGTTTATTGATGGAAGGAGATAAATCGTAGGCTACAGGGACTTCTTAGTCAACTGGGACTCTCAAGGCAACAAGGCAATAACTCAGCATCAAAATAACAGTCTGCCTATTATGGCTACCCCAGCTTCTATTTATAGCAAAAGTCCACGCAGGGACTAATTAGACAACTAAATAAGCTATAGGCACTTTAAAAGCTATTTAACTCCCCTAACCCCCTTATTTTAAAACTACTGATTAGGCTGATGCCTAACATTGTGGACTAATTAGACAACTAAATAAGCTATAGGCACTTTAAAAGCTATTTAACTCCCCTAACCCCCTTATTTTAAAACTACTGATTAGGCTGATGCCTAACACAACCAGTAAAAAATAAACAAGTCATAATCCAACTGCTAAAGAAGAACATAACAAAGTCGTTTAAATTAAATAAAATTATGACATTTGATCGGATTTTTGCAATAGTTGGCAAGGAGAACAGTGATCAGCATACCTTGTCATTTGGAGCTGCCGCATGACCATAATGGAGAACAGAACTGTAATATGGCAATAAATAATTGAAAATTAATTTTTTAAAGAGAAAACGATTTTAAACAATACCTATTATTACCAATAAACAAACAATAATACATAATATAGAAATAAGGGAAAAGTGTCAAATGGGACCTTCTACTATTTTAAATTCATCACTTAAGTCCTCGTATTAAAAAAGTATCAAATAAATGCATGTTCTCGAAAAATAAGTCAATTCAATCAAAATACCTGAAAGCAACCTTCTGTAACAGGTTACCATTAACGTTATAACGTGTCATTTTTTCCGTTACCCTTTTCTCTTTACTTTCTATTATGGTTTTTACTTTTTCTTTTCTTTTTTCTCCGTTCCCTTGTTACCCTCTTATTTCTGATCAGGAAAAAACTTCATTTTCCCCTGTTTTTTCCTTCATGTTTACTTGGCCTGCATTATTTTCATCATTTGCATTGGAGCCAAAGACTCACCATTTTTTTAGTAGAGAATATGGTGGAATAAAGTAAAATAGCTCACTAAACTATTTGCGCTTCTTTATTACTCCATTCGTCCCACTGACAATGGCACAAGAGGGAGTGGCACGTAAATCAATAAAGAGTGGTTTATGTGGTTGATATTGAATTGATAAAGTAATAATAAAGTAAGAATGATTTAGAGCCACACAAACTTTACCAAATTTGGTATGAGACAATCTTAGTGGGACAGACCGAAAATGTAAAATGGGACAATCTTAGCAGGACGGAGGGAGTATTAAGCAACAGTCAGTCCATGCAGTTTTCGATGCAATTTTCATCATGGGTCATCCGGAAACATCTGACTCCCTTACCCCACTGTAGGTGGGAGGGAGCCTTTGTGGCACTGGGGTAATGTTGTTGTTTACTTGTGGCATGCAATCTTGTTACGTTTTTCTGATGACCTACCACTTGTCAGGTTCCGCCGGTCAATCCCATCTGCAGTTGTAGGAATTGTAGCTGATCGGAGAAGTTGGTGTAATGTTTTTTGGCAACCGAGTGTTTTTCCCAATCAATCCATAGTCCCTCTTCCATTTTTTTCTTTTCTTTTTTTCTCTTTCCTTCTTTCCTTTTCTTATTTCTTCCGGCTCTACTCTCTCTTTACTTCATGTTTTCATAGACACATAATGGAGTAAATCAGTTGTGTCACAAATGCTTGTGGGTCAGAGCAATAGAATATATCTATGTTTGAAGCTAAGTGTGTATTATTTCATCGCAGCTACCTAAATGACTAAGTGAGCTGATATCTCTTTTATAGTTATATATATATATATATATATATATATATATATATGGGAGAGTTCAAATAAAAAGTAGTGTCCGGTGCAAAGTGCGAAATTTGCACTTTTTCATGTTTTGCTTGCACTTTTGCTTGTTTTCGTTGCACTTTTTCGCGATAGCGAAAAAATTGGTTTATTTACAAAACTGCCACCGTAGTTTTGGCTGAATTTGGCCAAAATCACAATGACGAAAAGTGCAACGAAAACACGAAAAAGTGAAAGTGAAACATGAAAAAGTGCAAATTTCGCACTTTGCACGGGAGCACCACTTTTTATTTGAATTCTCCCCTATATATATGTGTGTGTATATATATGTATATATAGATTTTGGTTCAAGTGAGAAATGCATCTAATGTGAGAAATGAGAATGAATCTCAGCCATTAGATTTACGTTGTTGCACTAAAAATGGCTTGATGTTGCAGTAAGCTTTAAATTTTGCAATGTTGCACTAAAACTGGGGTAAAAATGCGTACATCCGACCCCCCCTTACCCCACCGTAGGTGGGAGCCTTTGCGGCAAATGAAAATGATGATGAAAATGAATGTTGCACTAAAACTGTTTCATGATGCACTAATATTTGACGACGTTGCACCAAAACAGCTTCATGTTGCACTAGACAAGTGTAATACGGAAATTTAAGAAGTATTTACCAAAATGCCACTGTGCTAAATTGCATATTTTAGTGCAGCATGAAGTGTCTTTTACTGCAACTTAGTCGAATCTAACGACTGGGATTCATTCTCATTTCTCACCCAAGGGCTTCTTCTTATTTGAACCTCATCCTGTATATATATATATACATCGATAGAGAAATGCTCAGGTCCATCCGGAGGGACAGGAGCCTCCGTCCGAACTTCGACGTTTGGGGCGGTTCCCGGTGGAATTGTTTAATGAAATTTTTTGAGCATGTTCCTCATCAAGTCTAGTTTATCCATACCAAATTCAGCTCAAAATGCGATCGGGAAGGCAGTCAAATCATTTTTTGAATTTGACTGCGTTTTTATATGTATATTTTGGCGCAGTCAACTTCAAAAAATGATTTGACTGCTTTCCCAATCGAATTTTGAGCTGAAATTTGGTATGAATAATCTAGACTTAATGAGGAACATGCTCAAAAAAATTCATCAAAAAAATCTACCGGGAACCGCCCCAAACGTCGAAGTTCGGATGGAGGCTCCCGTCGCTCCGGATGGACCTGAGCATTTCTCTATATGTATATATATAGGGAAAATCGCACTTTTAGTCCCTGAAATAGTCACGAAATTGAAATGTCAGACCCGTGTTCCCAAGTTTGTACATGTCGTCCCTCAAATCCCTCAATTGTCCAAAATGTTGTAAATGTGGTCCTTTGAGGGGTGAAGTATACAATGTGGAAGAGAGTACATTTCACCACTTAAAGGACCACATTTACAACAATTTGGACAATTGAGGGGTGACATTTACAATCACAAAAATACGGATCTAACATTTCATTTTGGTGACTATTTCAGGGACTCAAAGTGCGATTTTACCTATATATATATGTGTGTGTATGTATATATATATGTATATATATATATATATGGGAGGGTTCTAGTGAGAACTCATCTTAAAATGAGAACTTGTTATAATGAAAACTTTTAATCCCAACCTTTTATTTAATTCAATCATTGGTAGGATGCAAATGGGGTACTTTGTGTAATTAATGAAAATTCAAATGGGGTGTTGTGTGTAATTATTGTAGAATTATTACAAAATTGCCACCTTGTAAATGCTAACCCTTGATTTCATAAATCAATGGTGTAGTATTCTCACTACAACCCTCCCCTATATATATATATATATGGAAAATCTTCCGGTAAGGTATACCTTACCGGAGCTGCCGTGCGGCCTCCACGTTTTGAGGGCCTTCCCGGTGGGATTTTTCGATGAAATTTTTTGAGCATGTTCTTCATCATGTCTAGTACATCCATACCAAATTTCAGCAAAAAAATCAATCGGTAAGGCAGTCAAACGATTTTTGGAAGATAACTGCGTTTTATATGTATATAAAGGGTGCAGTTATCTTCCCAAAATCATTTGAATGCCTTCCCGGTTGAATTTTTTGCTGAAATTTGGTATGGATGTACTAGACTTGATGAAGAAGATGCTCAAAAAATTTCATCAAAAAATTCCACCGGGAAGGCCCTCAAAATGTGGAGGCCGCACGGCGGCTCCGGTAAGGTATACCTTACCGGAAGAGTTCCTCATATATATATATATATATATATATATATATATATATATATATATAGGGAGCGGATCAGGTGAGAAGTGTTCTTAGGCTGAAAACTGCGAAGTTAAACTTATAGACTAAATATAGGAACTTTTAACCAATAAATCATAACTTATAGATCCCTCGAAAATAATTACGAAAATGCCACCGCAAAAAATAAATACAGAAACCGGGAAATTTTTTTGACGCGGTGGCATTTTCGTAATTATTATGGAGAGCTTTATAAGTTATGATTTATTGGTTATAAGTTCCTATATTTAGTCTATAAGTTTACTGCATTGTAAGATCAGATGCAAATCTAAGGGCTGAGATTAGTTCTCACTTCTCATTTTAAGGGGCACTTCTCACCTGATCTTTGCCCTATATATATATATATATATATATATATGAGCATGTGTATGCGTTCGCATAATGAATGAAGAACAAACTAAAATATAGGGAATAAATGTGGTAAGAGAGAACTGGGAAAAGAGAAAATCAGAAAAGAACAGATAAGGTCATTTGGAAAGGTTCAATCAGTGGCGGATCTACCTCTTATATTTTGAGTGTTCAAAATCACATTAATACTACAATTTCAAATGATAGTATGGAGCATTAATTTATGCGAGAATTATGCCCTTTTGTCATTCCAATAAAAAACTGCTACATGGCCAACAGATTATACACTCATCTTTTTCAATAATTTTTTTTACCCCAGTTGAAATTTTTTTAAACACATACGTTTCAATTAGAAAAACACTAATTGAATTCTAATATTTCTTCGAACCAGAGCAATTTGAAATTAGGGAATAAGGAGAGTAATATATCTTCCAAATTGAAATAAGCAATTTCCTTCGAAGTTCGAATGAGAGCAACAAACCACTGAAACCAGCAGCACTATAGTCCACACAATGGCATGCACTAGTATTTAAACGATTATTTTTTCTAGCACAAGACATAATATAAGCAGTGATGGTCAAATTGTTTTTCAATTGCAAACAGTATTCCACAATCACCGTGGGCACTTGCTGAAAGAAGCCACAGAAGGTTCAGGGAGCACTTAAAATGAAAAACGAGAACACACTGCAATTACCAGAATTCGTGCCTCCAACATTCTTCAACCCTTAGTCAAACACACCTCCACTTGTCTTTGTATCATGATGTTTCTGATTGTTTTTTGTTGAAGGATTACTTTTTATATCTTTTATTATTTAACAAGTCTTTAAAAAACCTGAGGGAAATGCTGGGGAAAGAAGAAGGGAAAAAATCAGAAAAATGAGCTCTCTTTGTATGGAGTTACCTCACCTTCTTTACCGCTCATGTATTCTTCTATCATACAGAGTGTGTTCTTCTTTGGAGCATTCTTCTTCGGCAGAGAATTGATCTTCACTCGCAACATCGCAAAATCAGAAAAATGAGCTCTCGGACTTTGCGTGTTCCACAAACATTGGATTCCCAACTAATGAAAAGTTTTGTTCGACTCGGGACTCTATTGTATCTGTTAGGGAGCACGAGATAACTGGGTTGCCAGGGACCACAAGACAAGTGGGCCAGTGCTGCAGGAGGGCGGGTCTCGCCCGTTATTGGTTTACCGTCGCCGCCAGCGAGTCTAGATGGGCTGGGCTGATTGCTGGGTTTTGTTACTTTATTTCATTGAATTGTTATTTCTATTTTCAGATCCTTTTTGTATCTTCTCTCGAATAAAATGACAATCGACCTCAATATGTTTTGTTCTCTCATGAAACACTGAATTGTTGGCAATGTGTATAGCAACTTGGTTATCGCACCACACTTTAGCAGGCATTGGTGTCTTCGATCCAATTTCACTCAATAAATGGTTTATCCATATGATCTCACATTCAGATTGTGCCATAGCACGATGTTCTGATTCAGCACTAGAACGAGAAACCACATTCTGCTTCTTACTTTTCCAGGAGACAAGATTACCACCAACAAAGACGCAATAGCCAGATGTAGATCTCCTATCATCTTTAGAACCAGCCCAATCAGCATCTGCAAAGCATTATATTCTCATGTGATCATGATTTTGATAAATAATACCTCGTTCCGGTGTCCCCTTCAAGTAACATAATATATGCTCTACAACATTCCAATGATCAACTGTCGGAGATGACATGTATTGACTCACTACACTCACTGAGTACGCAATATCCGGACGGGTAACTGCAAGATAATTAAGCTTTCCAACCAATATTCTATATCTTTCCGGATCTTCGAATGGAATGCCTTCGTTAGTGAGTTGCACATTGGGAATCATGGGGGTATTACTTGGTGTTGTCCCTAATTTCCCTGTCTAAGCTAGTAAATCAAGTACATATTTACGTTGATATAGAAATATGCCTTTCTTACTCCTTGTTATCTCAATCCCCAAAAAGTATTTCAATGAGCCAAGATCTTTCATCCGGAATTGACTGTGCAGAAAATTCTTAAGGGCCAAAATACCTGCATTATCACTTCCTGTAATCACAATATCATCGACATACACCACAAGGAATGTGATACCTGCTTTCGTTTGTCTGTAAAAGACAGAGTGATCTGATTTGCCTTTTATCATTCCAAATTGTTCAATTGATTGACTGAATTTCCCAAACCATGCACGAGGACTTTGTTTCAGACCATACAGAGACTTGTGAAGTCGACAAACCTTACCATACTCCCCTGAGCAACAAATCCCAGAGGTTGCTCAATATAAACTTCTTCCTGAAGGTCACCATGCAAGAATGCATTTTTAATGTCCAACTGATGCAAGTGCCAATCATGAGTTGCAGCTAGTGAAATAAGTAACCTGACAGATGTTAATTTAGCAACAGGAGAAAAAGTGTCAAAATAATCAACACCATAGGTTTGAGCTATAACCCTTCGCAACAGATCCGTCTGGGTTAACCTTAACAGCAAAGGCCCACTTACATCCAATAGATTTCTTCCCTATAGGCAAGTCAACCAAATCCCAAGTACCATTTAGATTTAAAGCATTCATTTTCTCTACCATGGCATGACGCCATTCAGGATGAGACAAAGCTTCTTTGACAGATTTGGGAACAGAAATAGAATCAATGGAAGCAATAAAAGAACATGAGGCGGGGGATAACTGATTGTACGACACAAATTAAGAAATAGGATGAGTACAAGACCGTGTACCTTTACGTAGTGCCATCGGGAGGTCAAAAGCTGAATGTGCCGTATTGGGAGGGATGCGGGAGGTGTTGGAGGAACAAAGGCGTGATGAGTTTATTCAAAGCATTGTGACTGCCTTGAAGACTGACCCGGACAGCTAGGCAGGGTTCGAAATAATTGAGGGCAGGCTATATTTTAACGGAAGGTTGGTGCTACCAGCCACTTCAAATTGGCTATGGGAATGCAAAAACATGAAAATCTAGGATTTGGAATTCCAAGTTGGAATCGAAACTCTAGGATTTGTATTATCTGCTTCTCCTCTATTTTAAGTACTTCTATGACGGAGTAATATCTCAATTAAATTTCATCACTCTGTTTTCGCCTCTAACTTGTCCAAGTTGTAAACATGTAGTATGATGGAACGGTGTCCTCCTCATCATCATCACCCCAGTGCCGCAAAGGCTCCCACCTATGATGGAACGGTGTACTTTAGAAAATTATGGAGTATGCTTTGTGAATAGTGGGTTGTCACACCTTTTAATATGGTATGTACTTTCTAATTTTAGTTTTACGTTCCGGCATTTGGAAGGGCAAAACGGTCCATTCAAAGCATAATATTTGATCTCCTCATTTGTTGTGCCGGTCAACATTGGCTTACTTTTCCGGGACGAAGGGAGTAATATGTATGTGGTTCTAATTCTTTCTTACTTTGTTCACGGTCAAATATCAACCACGTAACTCTTTTCTTAATAACTGCACCAGTCCCAATCTTAGAGGTATAGTAGTAATTTCTAAAATTACCTTCCACATACACACTCACAGAAGTGAGTATAAATGCTAGTTGAAAAAACTCACCCATTTTCACCTGTAGCACATATACATGTGTACGAACAATGCCTACATCCACCAAAAAAATAGGTATGATGAAGAAACATGCTCTCTAACTGGTATTCTTTCATACCCACTTTTATACTTCGCATAACCTGCAAGCAAATGCAAACACCGCTTAACTTATTTGGTTTAACATAAAGAAAACATAATAGCTGAAACCAGGACACCAATTTCATATAAGTGTTAGTTTGACCTCAACATGAGCTTCTGAGCTTATATCATTGGCAAATTGGATGAGAGCAAGCTCCAAAGTAGACTTTATAACACGACATTCAGCCAAAATAGGATGTAATGTATCTAAATCTCTCTCAAAGCTCTCAATGCCCTGAAGAGATTTAAAAGAACATAATAAAAAAAGATTTAAAAGAACATAATAAAAAATCGATTGATTCAATTGTATGGACTGCGGACACAAGTGATTGTTGATAGGAGGAATCCATTTTGGGAGGAAAAGAGTTCATAATGTTGAGTAACATGGTATATTAGTATTTGTTAAGACACGGGGTTCCATCCTAAAAGGTCAACCTTATAGGAGGAGTAGCTCAAAGCCTTATATAGTGTTTTATTGTTTTATAGCTTTCCGGTGTGGGACAAATACTTTAGCACGCCCCCTCAGCCCGAACCGGGTTGGACAATATCGGGATGTATAAATGGGCCAAACAGACCCTTAACAAACTACCCGTAACCATGGATGTTAAACAAGCAATCAAACCACAACCAGAATTGACTCTGATACCATGCTAAGACCCGAGATTCCATCCTAAAAGGTCAACCTTATAGGAGTAGCCCAAAGCCTTATATAGTGTTTTATTATTTTATATCTTTCCGGTGTGGAACAAATATTTTAACAATATTACTTTTATGGATAGACATATAATAGACTCACACCGGATTGCTATAATATAATAAAATACTACTTCTCGTATCAGGTTAATCTTCCAGAATGAAACCCCAAGTCTTATATAATATCAGAGTAAAATCCGATTGTTATTTGGGTATTGTTTAACACTCATAACTTAAGGTAGCTCGTTAAGAGTCTATTTAGACTATTTATACATCTTGATGTTATCCGGCCTGACAATTATACTCCTCAATGTTGTGTAGTTCATTTTGGGCTAAGGGGACGTGAAACCTTTATCCCATACTCGTTTGGTAAAAACAATAGAACACTTAAAAAATCTTGAGCTCTTCCTCCTACCAGGTTGACCTTTTAGGATAGATATCTCAATCTTACCATAGTATCAGAGCTAGGTCTAAGTGTAATTTGACTTTTTGTTCTAGATCCATGATTACAGGTGGCTTGTTAAGGGTCGGCTCGCTCATTTTTACACCTCGATATTGTTTAGTTTGATTTGTGCTGAGGGGGCGTGTTGAAATATTTGTCCAGTCTATAGGAATTTTGACCGTTGATACCTAAACCATGAATGTAATAAGAATATGAAACCATAACACTACTACAGTATACTACTCTTTCTATACTTTACCTCACCGCTAGTATCAACAAAGATAAGAGTTCATTTTCCTTTAATTATATAGTGTGTGCCTTACATTGGCAACATTTCAAAGTTAATTGTCACTCCAATTATTATGAGCTAAATCATTAGTTGTCAAGCCCGTGTTGTAACCACTCATACTATGTAAACTTTATAGTTTAGTCGTTTCAAGATAAATATGTTTTTATTTGATTGCCATCTTATTTATTCTTAAAGAAATTTTTCTAAATAAAAGTAAAAACATTGTGAAATTTCAAAAAATAAGCACCATGTTTTTTCCTTAAATGTGAGTAATTACTCTCATGCATGGAAAATACTACCAACAACAATCAAGCCTTTTCTTTAAAAGATTGTGGTGTCTCATCAATCAATACAATATCGTCAGCATACATCATACACCACGTTATATCTTCTTGAACTGACTTTGTAAGTTAATCCATGACTAAAAAAGAACTCAGAGCCGATCCTTTGTGCACTCCAATAGTAATAGGGAACTCTGTTGCCCTCCCTACACTAGTAGGGACATTTGTAGTAAAATTCTCATAGAGATCCATGATGATACTTATATACTTATGTGATTTGTCTTCTCTAGTTAAAATTCACCAAAGGACTTATCGAGGTACCTTATCACATGACTTTTCTAAGTCAATGAGCATCAAATGCAGATCCTTTTTAGAGTCCATTTGATAATCCTGTTTTTTTGGCTTATCAGGCTTACGAGCCAATTTTTTCACCAAACACGTGATCTCTGATTTCGGGCGCTGAATTGTGATATAATAAGAAAAAACAAGGTTGAAGTTACTTTTCTGGTTGTATAGGATGAAGTTACTGTAGAGGATTATTTTAGCTATTTTTCAGATAATTTTTTCTTTATTTTATTAATAATATATACTACCTCCGTCCCAATTTGATGGTACCAGTTCTTATTCACTCGGTCAACACAAATCACTCTTAATCTCTTACTTTATATATCAAATATCAAATTTTTTTCAAATTTGATTCTAGTTTTTGCGACTTCGTAAAGATTTTAATGTAGCTTCTGAATATGTAATTATTTTTTCTAAAAAACATTTGAGTGCGGACAAGGGTCCGTTTGCTTTATCGTCAATCAAACATCGTAAACCGCAAAGGTACCATCAAATTGGGACGGAGGTAATACTTAAAGATAATTTTTTTCACAAATCAACAAAATCAACCAATCTAGTCACTTCAGCCCAAACTTAATAAATTTTAGTTTCTTTATACTTCTCCACAATTTGTCTAAAAAGGTGAATGATCCAAAGTGTTGAACTTTCGGCATAAAACCAAACTGATTCTCCGAAAATTTAACATTTTTTCAGTCTTTGCTCAAATACTCCCAAAGTTTCGTGGTGTGACTCATAAGCTTATGAAAGAATGACAAAAATGAGACCCTCACGTTATGCAAAGACAGAAATAAGCCTAAATTCCGTATGGACAAAAAAGTGATTGAAAATGATTTGAATTGACTTAAATGCCCTGGAACCCTAACTGAAGTATCCCTCCCCATTTGTTCGATGCGTCAAAGCTCTCATCCACGACAACCTCATCGAGCAGACACCTTCTGCTTCTCCCTGCATCTGTGACGGACTCGTCGAGGCCGCACAAATCGACGCTGAACTGTCTGCCTAGCCTTTGCCGTCGTCCTGGCCTCATGCCGGTAACATAGCACAACCAGAACCTTTCTTCGATGTCATTCAGATCTGTTCTTCAACGCCCTGCACCTGTGTCGTCGTCGACCTCAACTTCTTCTTTTCTTCTATTTCTGTCTAAATTTGGGGGCGCGAACGTGTTTCCAACGTCCTCGTTCCAGATCTACCGTGTTGGGGACGGAGCCCGGCGGTCTCGAGTAGGGTTGCGGCATCCGAGGGGCTGGGGGTGATTTTGGGGGTAGGGCAGTAGAAGGGAGGGCATGGAGGCTGGGTGGTGCCAGAGGGGCAGAGGGTTTGGTGTCACAGGGGAAGGGGGCTGGGGTATCAAGGGGGGGGGGGGGGTGTGGGGTGTGGTGTTGGCGGTGGTGGTTGCTGGCGGTGGCCGAACGTGGGTGTTGCCGGCGGTGGCCGAACGTGGGTGTCGCCGGCAGTAGCGGCCGCCAATGGTGGCGGTGGTCGCCGGCGTGGCAGAAGGTGGTGGTCAGGTGTAATTAACTAATTAATTATTATTAGACCCGAGTAATCTTAAATAGTCGAACCGGATAACCCTAATTGTAACCGTAACTGAACGGTTCATGTAACTGTAACTAAATAGGTCATGTAATTATATAATTATAACTGCCTAGGTGATGTAACTGTAAGTCTGTAAATGAACGGGGTAACTGTAATTGGGCGGATCGAATAATTGTAACGATTGTCACTATATTAATTGGTCACTGAACGAAAGTCATTATAAGATTGGTCATTGTCGCGGTGGTCGGCGGCGGTGGCCGACGGAGGTCACTATTGTAGAGGTCACTGTATTTTAGGTCACTTTGGCGGACTAGGTCACTGTTAGGTAAAGTCACTAAAGTTAGGGGTAATTTAGTAAGTGTAATGCTTATTAGTCACACTTTTGGAAATTAAAGAGAAAGTTCACTTTTTTGTCTATAACTAATTTTTTACTAATATTTATGACCTAACCCCTAAGCTTATTCCCTCCATAGTTGGCACATTCTTGTACATCACCCTTATTTTCAAATAAGATATGAGAGTACTCTTCCGCCAACTCACTGCATTTTGTTATTTCTCTAAAACATGTTAAAGAAACGTGTTAGCCACTCGATGCCTTTCTCTCTCACACTCCTCGAGCCCTAGATTGGTATGCCATCTGGCCCCCCTGCTTTCTTCCGATCCATCTTTCTCAGAGCCGCTATAACTTCTGTAGTTTGGATCTTTCTTACAAAATTCTGATTTACCATAGAATCTGGCATAGTAAGATCATTAATACCTTAATATTTCCAGTTGAACAAGTTATCAAAGTATGACATCCACCTCTTTTTTATTTCATCATCCCTCATTAATATTCTTTTATCGACATTCTTCACACACTTAACTTCTCTGATATCTTGAGTCATGCGATCACGAAAGACGAACAAGTCTGTAGATATTTTTATCTCCTTCATTAGAGTCTAATTTTACATACAACTCGTTGTTCACTTTCTTTCTTGCTTTCTTTACGGCTATCTTAGATTTTCTTTTAACCTCCTTGTACTCATATATGTTCTCATCACTCAAAGTGTTGCCCAACTTTTTGTGCATTCCGTTTTGGTACTTATTGTTTGTTTCACCTCATCATTCCATCAAGGCATGTCTTTTTTTGTGGCAAACATCCTTTAGTTTCTCTGAGTATCTATTAGGGGTGGGCACGGTCCGGGACGGTCCGGGATTTGGCTTTATTCCGATCCCGTCCCGGTTTTATAACAACGGTCCGGTACGATACGGGATAAGTCTATATCCCAATGTTGTCCTATTTAAAACAGGACCGGGACAACCCGAGAAAAACCAGGACGGTTTGGGATGTCCCATAAAATATGCATTTGTGAAATGTGATATAAAAATAAGCATAACATAAAAAAAAAAGACGTAACTATTTTTGCAAATTTTGCTTCCCTAAAAAGTTAAGTAAAACCTTTAATTAACTATTTTTAGCTTTGGTCTTGTAAATTTTTTTGGCCCCCCTAATCTTGTGTTTCCTCTAGTAGAATAGTAGCGCAAAATATTTTTATACTTTGTAGTACACTTGTAATTTTTTTAATACCACATTAAATTAAATATCATATCTATAAATACACTATATATACATTTTCTAGTAGTTATTTTGGAAAATATTAAATCTATAACAACACTATAATTTGTAGTAGTTATTCCATCATAAATAGTATTCTACATGTAATAATATATTATGTATTAGTATTGGAATGAGAACTAAACAAATTTTAATCAAAAGAAACAAAAGAAATGAGATTAAGAGAGACATGAAATAAGATAAAATTACACTAGGGAGACCAAGGACTAGAAGCTTTTAATTAGGCTTGACTATTACATAGCATTAGAAATTTAAAATAACATATTAATTTCAAACGGGACACCAGGACGGGACATGATATTTATAGTTATCCCGGTCCCGTCCCGGTTAATATCGGTGCGGGACCGGTTCGGGATAAAAAATTGCGTGCTAAATGGATCGGGATAGTTTCGGAACAGTATCGGGATTTTTTAGTTTGGGACACCGGGACCGGGAATTTTGCCCACCCCTAGTATCTCTTGCGCCACTTCATTAATGGTCGACTCCAATGATACCCACACATCATCCGCATGTGTGTCATTATCAATACACTATACATCTTCCAACATTTTGTGTGCAAAACTTTGTTAGAGATCCCCTCGAGCCTCCACCGCTTTATCTTTAGCTCCACATGTTACTTAACCCATCTATGCAGAGTGACAGCACTCTCGCATGGGATGACTTTACAATCATTGTAGCTAGTTCACCAAATCATCCATACCAAAAAGTGGTCAATTTGGATACTATTAGTTCCACTTATACAGGTCACAAGGTGAGAGTCTCTTTTGTTGAACCAAATTTTCGTTATAGCCATGGATACTCTCAAAACCATCACGAATTGGGCCCACATACCCGTTGAGGTCGCCACCTATGATAAGTTTCTCTCCTCTTGGCACTCATCGCACCACTTCCTCACGATCTTCCCGAAATTGTTCAGTGATAGATGCATCCAATCCCACTTGTGGTGCATAGGCACTTACCTCAGACATGATCTCATCTCTTATTGCCAATTTAATGTTCATAATTCGGACGTTCTTTCTAAAGAGAAATAATAACCTAAATATGACCAAAATGAATATGATTTACAAAAATATGGTTAGTTACTAGAGTAGTAATGAAATCATAGTAATTCATGTTCAAGTTTTGAACTTAAGTTACCACAACACTACGTTGTAGTAATGAATAGTCATATTTATGTAAATAAGTTTTATTTTAGTAATATTCTTGTAAAAAACCCTTCTAAAGAATTCCACCACACCCTCAACATAATCACGCTTCACAATATTGCATACTCCATTTCTCTCTCCGCGATTACCTCTACTTAAAACTCTGGGATTAATCTGACGTGCCTTTTGTTCAACCCACTTAGTTTCTTGAACACACATAATGCTGATATTACTCCGCATAACCTCGACTACCCCAGATGATCTTCCATAAGAGAGTCAATATTCCACGTCCCAGAGTGCAATCTAGCACCCTACCTTTTATTCTTCGCACCACATTAACCCTTGCATGCCCTTGCATATTTGACACCATCCCCTGGCATTGAAGTGGCGTGTTACTTTCGAGCGACAACTTAGCAACCTTAACATTCTTATCACCACACAAGTGACGACTTAGTTGTAGTAATAATATTCATATTTCGATTCATGTCATGCGGTGTGACTAAGTGATACTGTTGGCCGTCATGCGCATACCACAACACCCTCTTCCTTTATCCTAACTTGGGACAAACATGATACCAAAAATGATCTCATGCAAAAGTTCTTGGAAAATACTATCAATTGTCATTAATAGTTTAATACTTCTCTTTTAATGCTTTATGTACGTTGTGTGTAGTCTTCTTGTTTGCTTGCTTACCACATTGCACACAATATCTTTAACTAATTGTAAGTCTCACTCGAGGCAGCCTATACCCTGTCAATAGAAGTAGGTCCGCACTTTACGAACATCTCACCCTTCCATGATCCTACTTCCGAGTGGGATATACTGGTTTTTTTTTGTTCAATTTGATTAGACTTGATGGTTAATGACATGATTGACATAGATTGGGATATGAACTCAGTTAACCATTGATCTAACAATTGGACTACGGGCCCACCTAGGCGGTGGTTGAGAGTCCTGATTTCATCCTAGACAGTTGGAAAAATTGATCAACCAGCCCAATCAGGTTGCCTAGGCTGGCGCTTAATTGGGGTTGAGTGGGATCTAAGGCGGATCCCTAGGCGGGCTCGAACAATGGGTTCAGTTCAAATCAATTTATTTTCGTTGCCCAACCCGAAAGACATAGTTTGGTCAATAAGTATTTTATATCTAGTAAAATTATGTTAATATTTTTAGAATAAATGTTTAACCTTTAAATTGACTAAAAACACGTACCTTTAATATTGTTTATGACTTTACTACAAAAACACAATCCCTCTGTCTCACTATGATTATCCCATTTTTCCTTTTTTTCCATCTCATATCATATTTGATATCATATTTGATAATATTTGTGTGGTTATAATTCATTTGTACTTCATTCAAACTTTATCAACCACATACTCTATTTTTTAAGATCGCACCACTCTTTCTTGTCTCAATCTTAGCGGGACAAAGGTAGTAACACTTAATACATACTACCTCCGTTCTTAAATAAATGCAACATGTAAAATTTTACACTATTCACATGTTCTACTTTGACTACGCTTTATTTGTTAATGTATTAATAATTTATTTTTGAAAATATATTTTTAAATTTGTTTCATCCTAAATTTTCAAAATCTGTATTTTTAAATTTTTTACTAAAAGAAAATTAAATATACTAATAGTCAGAGTTGTGCATTGGCAAACGTGAAAAATTGATTGTTGCATTTATTCAAGAACGGAGGTAGTATGAATTATTTCTATACCAAAATATTATAAAATGATTAATTAATACTCCCTCCGTCCCTTAAAACTTTGACAACTTTCCTTTTATGATGCCCCACTAATTTTGCCACTTTCCCTTTAAGTAAAGAATTTGTACTTCCAGTTAATTCTCTCTCCTCTGCACAAACCTCAACCACACGGTTTTTACTTTATTAATCCCAGTGTCGTTCAAACTTGGCAAAGTTTCAAGGGACGGGGGGAGTACTACGTAGTATTTGAATTCATAATAAAAGGGTATTGCCCTAAAGAGGAGAAAAATAAAGTTGTTTCCCTGAATAGGAGTACTTTGTTTTATTTTCCTAAATAGGAGCAAGTACAACCATCCAGATAGCATAGTTCCATACTATGGTTCACAAGTCCCTAGATTACTTGTATTTCCGCCATTCATTATGTTACATATCAGTTTATCACAATGGTAACAACACATTGTCAATGCCTTTGATTCTTGTTGATGAGAAAAAATGACTATAAAGTATTTTAAATCAGTGACAGACCAAGAAATAAAATACAATAGATGGGTTGGAACCTGGAATTCTGCGGGTTTGGAGAACTTTTCACTGTCGGTGTTGAGCCCATGTAGAAGGAACAACAAGGGATCGCCCTTTCCTTTATAGAGATCAAACAAAACATGGACAATCTCATCTGTATAAAGGACCTTGTTAACCCTATATATTTCCTGAAAACAAGTAATAAACTAGTTAATGGGCTCAAATTCACTGCCAAGCTACTATAATAAGTATACTCCGTACAAAACCAAAGAAAAATTACCTTGAAATAGGATACAGGCTTTATTTCTCCCAGCCAAACTGCATAAGAATCTGGTAATCTGGGAGCAAATAGCATTGACTCCCCACTTGCTACATCCTTGTGCAAATAAAAAATATCAAGGTCGATTTCTATGGTCTATGCAGCCAAAGATTTGTGGAAATGCCTACATGGTGACTGCATCACCATTATCTGAAGGAATTTATCATTCTAAAAAACATATCTACTTTTTGTCTAGTGTTAACAATTTTTTATTAATATGAAACTTGATAACTCATACCTCTATACAAGTGGGTACATTTATTGCTAAAATGAGGCACTAAGGTTTCTATACATGCTGGGCTAAGCCCACTATAACTAGGGTTTCAGCACTCCCCTAAAGCTGGAGCAAATAGATCATATGCACCAAGCTTGTTACCATGTGAGCAATATAAACTGATTGCCGGTCCGCTAACAATAATCTCAACTATTGATTATTTTTATATAATCCCAACTATATGAACCGTCCGACAATAATGGTCCATGACCGCTTATTACCTGACTATAGGAGGTCAAAGTTTAAGCAGAAACTAAGGGTATTCTATAAATAATCTGAACTATGCTCATTCTTCTTTTAATAATCCCAACTATCAACTCAACTAGTTTTACAAAATGTAGAAATATTTATTTAAATTTTGAATTTTATAAATGAAATTTAACTAAATATATAAATGTATTGCATTTTAGAAATAAAAAATGTTTTTTTTGGAAAAAATAGGCTTAAATTGATAACACATCATTAAGAAAGTGGGTAATCCGACAAAAAGATTCCTGACAACCGCCGTCCTGCGAACCAGACTCGGAATTAATCACCTTCAAAGAAGCAATATAATGGGGTTTTGTCATGAATAATACTAAAAAGTAGAGAATGGACAAAAAAGAGACCTTTTTTCTAAATTTCCAGGAATGTGACAAATTAACACCTAACTGTCTAAATTACCCTTCTTTAGAGCACCGCATCGCGCCGAGATAATAGCGCATAACGTTAAATGCACTACCTGACATTTCATTCTTTAACAATTAATTCTGCTTGCCTTCAAAAAACAATTAATTCTTCTTTCTATTTTAGTATTATTTCCAATAATACATATTTGGATGTAAACACATGGAACTTAATCGTTTAAATTATTAAATAAAAATAAGTCTGAAAATCGTCCCAGTTGCTATCGCTCAAGATCGCCCTAGTGACAACCGTCGACGATAGTGACAGTGACCACCACCGGCAACAATTACAGTGACCACCACCGGCAACAATTACAGTGACCACCGCCGCCGACAGTTACAGTGACCGCCGCCGCCGACAGTTACAGTGACCGCCGCCGCCGCCAGTTACAGTGACTGCCGCCGACAATTACAGTGATCGCCGCCGACAGTTACAGTGACCGCCGCCGACAGTTACAGTGACCGCCTCCGATAGTTACAGTGTCCAATTCATACAGTGATTCTTGACAATTTTGGGCGGTGGCAAATCGCCTTGTGATCACCGTCGAGCAGTTACAATTACTCCCGACCAACACCGGCCAGTGACCAATACCACATCGCCACGGCTAGTGACCAATTCGCACCCATCCCATGCCACCAGTATCCCACTGCCACGGTCAGTGACTAATTGGCACCCGTCCAGTTACAATTACCAATGCATCCACTTACAACCCGTCCAATTACCCATAAACCACCGCTGGCCACCGCCGGCCGCCACCGCTAGCTGCCAACGCAGCCCCTCTCCTACGCCAACACCAACCTCACTTCCGGTGTACCCCAACCCCCCTACAGTGGTCCAACCTACCGGCCCTACCCTAGCCCCGACCCCCAACCCACTGCTATCGCCGGAAACCACCACCATCCACCACCGCTGGCCGCCACCCCCAGCCCCTCCCCTACACCAACACCAACCTCTTTTCCACTCTACCCCAGTCCCCAACCCATTGTCGGCCCCTGCTACCCCAGCCGCCACCACACCTGCTCAGCCCTCTCAATCGCTACCCCCACCCCTTCACCAGGCCCCGTTCGTACAATCGATGCATCGTACCATCATTCGTCGCCCCCAGAACCTGATCCGACCACCAGCTGCACCACATCGGCCCCTAGCCCATCCCAATCATCTCCCCTGCCCCAGACCCGTCGTAACCCCATCCTCTGCTCCCGTTAACCCTAGCTGCTGCTTACAATCATATCTCGCCACCGCTACCCGCTCGATTGGAAACCCTAGGCTTCAGATCTGGTAGTTGAACCATGTTGCACCACCATCGCCGATCTGAAGTGAATGACTACGGAAATCCGGCAAAGAAGAGGCGAAGAAGATCGAAGGCGGCGGCGGCTCTTGGTTGTACGAAGAAGAGCGAAGGCGGCGGCTCTTGGTTACGCGAAGAAGAGCGAAGGCGGCGGCTCTTGGTTGTGCGAAGAAGATGACTTCGCGCAGGGACGAAGTTTGCTGGGAGCCTGGGATGCCGCGATGATGCTATGCGTAAGACCTGGGCAATTTGGGCATTTCACGACATTTTAATCCCTTATTTGTCTAGTACGAAAAGTGGTCTTATTTTTGCCCACTTAAAAGCTGATAATCCTATTTTTGCCATTCTTTCCAATACAATTCGCCGATCCATTAATGAGCACAAATGAGCCAAAGACGGTTACGGCAATCCTCCCATCACCCACATCCAAATCCAACGTCTTACAAATAGGAACAACAATAACGAAAAAAACCACACAACAAAATAAATTGTCACTAAAGAAAAAAAATAAAGCAAATAAACTTGAGCCTCACGAGTACCCTAACATTCTTCATCCATTCTAACTGTAACAATTTCGGCGGGCTTATTGAACGAAGCCCGTCCCTTCCCCGTTATTTGTCCCATCCAAAGTCGTGTTATCTTCCCCAAGTTTGATACTGAGTAGGCATTGGTCTAGTCCTCCTACTCAATGTATGTTGTTCCATCTTTTTTAATAAATAGGTAGGGTGTTTCCTAGCCCCCCCCAAAAAAAAAAATCTTCCCCAATCTTGTCTTCTCTTTGTGCCTCCCAAATCTTTCTTCTCTTTTTGCTCCCTCGATGTCTCCTCCTTCATTTCCTCTCTCACGCCTTTGGTTATACTTTGCGCTGATTCTAATATAGACTCTTTCCCCCCTTCACCCATCCTGCCGTCAGACTTATTATCCCCCACATACCTGCGTTCTCTGCCAGAACTCGATGAACCCTCCGGTAGCCACTTGCCACCTCTGGTAAGGCTAGTCTTCACCTTGCTCCCTGCCTTAAGATGGACCCCAAATTTTTTTCGAGCACTAGATCTTCTTCATAGTTCAATGGACACAACTTATCTGAATGCCCAATTAAGCCGCATATAAAACAGAAATTGGGCAATTTCTCATATTTGAAATCCACCCAAAAACTTTTTCCTTCTTTTTTCAGGTTCATTCCCTTTTTCAAAGATTTATCAATGTTCATGGACACCCTGATTCTCATATAAGATTCCACTTCTCACTTTTCTGATTATCATCATATTTTATAAACTTTCCAATAAAATTTCCAACCCACCTTGCAGTACCTAAATTAACTATGCTATAGGGAACATTATGGATTTGAACCCAAAAATCAGCCTCATTTAAAACAATCTTATGCGGAATATCATCAGGTTTAACTTCTTTCAACAACAGATTACGCTCAAACTGACATGGACCTCCTTCAAGCACACGAATCATATCAACACGATGATAGAAAGTAAATAGGTACCTTTTTTCACCAACTTCTTTGATCGGCATTCCTTTCCCCAGCCTCCATCGTGAGGACATAAGCTCTTTGAGGGCTGGAAATCTGACCTTCTTGTTAGTCAATAGCACCCCGACCACCAAAAATCCCAGCTTGCTTTCCTCAATCGGAACTTCCTCAGCTTCGAAATCATCAAGGTCCAGATCTTCTTCCTCTGCCCCAATCGCCATTTTTTTGTATTTGTCTACAAAACTCTCCATTCACAGCACCCTGGTTCGCCGCCGCACCCTAGCAGTTCCGCCTCCACGAAATAGCCATCGCTTGACTCCGCAAAGCCGCCTTCAACCCTAACGCCGGATTAATCCTTCGAGCCGACTCCCTTGAGAATGAAAGTCCTCCCAGCGCCGAAGCCTCCAAAACCGAATTGATATCCACAATCGGCCGGACAATCCCAGCCTCTCGCCCCTCGACAATGTCGATGAACGAAGAACTAAGCGTTGCCTTAAAGCAACCCTAGAGAGAGAGAAACTACGCGTACAAGTGTAAATTTTCATTAGGTGTGTAAATATTTTTAGAAATAAAAAATGTTACATTCTACTTTTTATTTTTATTATCAGAAAAAAAATGTTTTTATTTTTTGATATATAGTCGTTTTTGGATTCTTTTAAAAATTCATGAATATTTTTCTTTTTAACTAATTTAAAATGATTTAGTATTTTAGAATGATTAGCTTTTAAATTATTTAATATTTTGAAAAAATGTATTGGTATATTATATTTTTCACTTTCTTAATTTGAAAGTCAAGGTTTTCATTTTTTAATTTGAATTTGTACTTAATTTCAATTTTATTTTCCTTAAAGGTTTTTGTATTGACCTTTTTACTCTCCTTTATGCATTTATATTTGTTATATATTTACAATATCTTACATGTTATGAAATGTTAATTTTGAAATTTATATAATTTTTCCCATGTTTCTATAAATATATATATTTTATATTCTTTAGTTCCATAAAGTATCTAAAAAGGTTAATTCAGTGAGCAAGAAAACTCATGGGCGTCTAACCACAAGGGGCTGAGTAAACTATTCAATCAAATCCATACCTTTCAGTGACATCCTAGCCAGAGGAGCAAGTAAAAATATTTTTATTAAATCTTTTTTACTATTTCTATTTATTTATGGAAATTTTATTTTGGGTCCAATAGAAGTCGACAGATGATAGTTCGGATTATTATAATCTGATACTTTTTTTAATTTACTGAACAAGTAGGCGGTCATGTCTGACCATTATTGGCGGAAGGTCCCTAAAGTTGGGATTATTCTAAAATGATCCATAGTTGGGATTATTATAAGTTGGCCGCCAGTAGTTGGGATTATTATTATCAATTTTCCTTTTATTAATATGAAATTTGATAATTGATAGCTCTATACAAGTGGGTATATTTATAGTTATAACTGAGGCACTATGGTTTCTATACAAGTTGGGTTAAGCCCACTATAACTAGGGTTTCAACATCTAGCAAAAAAATGAATCTACAAATGCAATCATCAATTGGAAAGAAAATACTGAAGGTCCTAATACTTTGTAGAATGAAAAGGTTAGAGCGTGAAACAGATAAGTTGTGGTGTGGTAGGCAGGTCAAGTTAGGATTAGGAGTCAATAGATAGTAGGTTAAAGTAATTAGATATTCATAGGTGACAGTAACTAAGATTTGTGCTAATTTGTACTAAGAGGATTTGCAAATTGAGAGAAATGACTGGCCAAAGGTAATCCTCTAAAAAAATTAAGTTCTTTTAAAGAGACAGTGAATTGATTTTAAGAGAAAAATAAATAAAGTTTAGTACACTGAGCTTACAATAGCTCCATAGAACCCAGGCTCTTTTACTCCAAACAGGTACGCAAAATAGCTCTCCTGCCTACAAGTAAGCCACCAACTAATTGGATAAATCAATCAAGTTGGGTAAATATAACAGTAAAATAAAAACAAGACCTCACATTGATAGAGCCAAATATGTACTGATATTGCAAAGAAGACATAATTAACCAACAGAAACAGAATAAAGCAAGGCTTGATTACTTGAATACCCAACTCTCACTAGTTACATTAGAAAAACAATCATCACTCTTAAAATTCAAACCAAGAAGGACGGGGTTGGAACAAGAACAACTAAAGGCCCTGATTAACTAAGAAAAAATAGAAGCACTTGCTCTTGACAATGTTCATAAATTGTACAATACTTTTACGCCTTGAGGCCTGCCTCAACGATTTTTGGGGCTAATATGCACTAAGGTGAATCCCAGGCAATGTTGAGGCTTATGTCTTTTTGGGTCGAGGCAAGGAGTACACAATGAGGCAGGATTGCATTTGCATCTTCTGATTTTAATTAAATAAGTTGTGAACACTGCAAACTTTACAAACAAAAGTCTTTTCTTCTAAAACCGCTCCGTGTCTTCATTTATCTTCTTCAAAAACCAATGTTTTTTACCCCGGAAGGTCAACCACCAAAATCAGTGGGGCAAATGTTGGGGGACATTTACCATTATTTTATTAATTTAGAGAGTGATACAAAAGAGAGGAGGACCAGACCAAAAACCTCTCATCAGATAAAAACATGAATAATAATAATAGAGTAAACGAAAATATTTTTTGGGGGGGGCTAGACCTGACCCAAAAATATAAAATAATTAAAAACGGAGATTAGGAAAACCAAATAAATCCGCATAATAGCTCCTCCTAACATCCTGGGGCAAGGTAGAAACCCGATCAAACAACATAACTTGGGCCGACTCGATATAATGGCCCGCTAAGCAGTGAGCCGGCCCGTTACCCTCTCTTCAAAAACCAATTTTTCAGCATGTCTCCTATTTCTCCTCTTCACTCTTCATTCTCTTTTCTCTAACTCTCATCTTCAAGGTATTCACTATTCTTTTACTCCCTCCATCCTACAAAACTTCGGCATATTGGCTATGACTTTTCTTGATCAATGATGATAAACTTTAGACAACGATTTTAGTTATTATATTTGTGTGAAATTTATAAATTTTACTCTTATGGAAGTTTTATAACAAGAATTTTTATATACCTTTAATATTTTAAATAATTCCGTGTTCAAAAATACCATAGGTCAAACATGACCATCATCGACCAAGGTCAGTATATCGGAGTTTTGTTGTGTTGGGCGGAGGGAGTATTTATTTATTTACCCCGTTCATTTTGTTTGATGTTATTATACACACATCACCGTGATGTGATAATGAGACCTCTCCTTTTGTGCAAGGTGTCTTTTTCCTGCTATATTTTCTTTCTCTTTTTACTGTAAATAATGGATGGATGTCGATGGTGATGGTGAGAGGGATAGTAATGGTAGTGGTGGTGATGATATGGTAATGGGGATGGTAGTTATGGTAATGTTGATGGTGGATTTGATGTTGGGTGTTGATCCCTATTCCAAACCACTAGATATTGACGATTTTTTATTAAACACCACGTAATAGCAAATATTGCCTGCTCCATCATTAGAGCTTAAAGTTTATTAGATTGAAGAATGAAAAAAGTCAGGGAAAATCCCTGAAAACGTTTTGGAATTCCAAAATAGGAGTAAAAACATAGTAGTGTTATTTGGGAATTTACAAACGTTTTTACTCCTATTTAGGGAAATTTCTCTTAATAATATTTTGATGGGGTCATCACCCTATTACTGTTCATTTTGCCAACAAATTTGTTGAACTTTAATTATTGATTAAATTGATTTTTAATATTATCTATAATACTTTTATACTCCATAGAGATTTCTTTTATGAGTTGAGGCTTATGCCTCATATGGCCATGGTTTTAAAAGGCGTTTGAGGTGTGAGCTTCTGAGGTGCTGAGGTGCCAAGGCACAGGGGCTGACTGGCTGACACCTCCAATTTAGTGAAGCCTAGAGGCACTAGGCACAGAAGGCATATGTTATGGATCCATTCTATGGAGAAGTATATCAACGAAGGCGTGGCCGAGAAGATTTAGAAAATATAGTGGGGCCAATCGAGAAAGATCAAAGTGTTTTACATGGCTGATCAGGGTGTTAAGGAAAGTTGGCAGCATTTAATTAATTAGATCCTAGTATTTCCAATTCATAGTATTTCCTAATTCAATTAGGAAAGCTGGCAGCATTTAATTAATTAGATTCTAGTTATTTCAGACTCAAAGTTATTTCCTAATTCAGTTAGGAAACTTTCTATTATTCTTATGCTTCCTATTAGGACTCTTGTAATCTCTATTTAAAGGGACTAGTATTGTTTAATAAAGCACTTTTGGGAAGAATTAATTTTGATGTGTCTTGACTAGGTCGGGCACTGATTAATTCCACCTTAAGACTCTTACATATTTATTTTTCATCACTCCAATAATCTGAAATTCCACCTTAAGACTCTTACATATTTATTTTTCATCACTCCAATAATCTGAAACTAACAATATTGATTCGGAGGTCTCAGTTGGCTCCTCTTCTCTTCTGAGATCTCGAATGAGGCCTTGGACAAGGTCGTATACGACTATACGCGGGTCCTTAACAGCATATGCCTTTTTTGAATCAAAGTTTATGTTATTTCACCTTGTTTGGGATGAATTTTTAAAGTACCATGTTTGAAGCTTGGAATTTTTTTAGTTTTTTCCCTCATATGTTTCCCACACTCAATGCTAAACACACCAATCAAATAACCCTAGTTCTCAGTTCCATCCACTTCCTAATATGTATGTGTAGTCTTCGAAAATCTAATGGGTCTTCATCAATCTCTCTTCAACTTCCAAGTAACAACTTACTGTGAAATTTCTGAATATTTATGATATATTATAATCTCAAAATGATAGGATATATATACAGCCTATTGAGGAGAGAATCTAAGGCATTAAATATACAATCTATTAATCTAAATAATAGAATATCCTATTTCTAGAAAGAATAATTACTGGTAATTAATACAAAATCAGATCTAAAGTACAACAGTAGTTATTCTCTAGATCAAGAAATAAATCCACACTCCCCCTCGAGCTGGGTTGTGAATGTAAAACATCCCAAGCTTGCTAATTAATTCTTCAAAAACAATTCTCGGTAAAGCTTTTGTAAGAATGTCAGCAGTTTGAAATTCACAGTCCAGGCACAACGACGCAATTATCAGGGGGCGCGCTCTACCACTGAGCTAATAGCCCATATCCCATCATCGTGCGAGCCTCCCACTGGAGGCTCATTATTATAAAAGCCAGAGAAACCCCATCCATGTTTTTATTTATTTTTATTTTTAACCCCTATGTCGCCACACGAGGGAGGGGACATGAGGGCCTAGAGAATCCTTTAAACTAGTTCCGACCTAGGTTAATAAGCTCATGAGCTTGGTCTGACTTCACCGTTCGGTGTCAAACCAAAATACTCAACAAGCATTAGCTCTCCCTGAAAAGGAGGTGATCCAGCCGCACCTTCCAGTACGGCTACCTTGTTACGACTTCACTCCAGTCACTAACCCTGCCTTCGGCATCCCCCTCCTTGCGGTTAAGATAATGACTTTTGTAAGAATGTCAGTAGTTTGAAATTTTGATGGGACATAACAGGTTTGAATAATGGAGTACTCTATTTTCTCAACAGCGTCTGTCTATGTCAATATGCTTAGTTTTGTCATGATGGACCGGATTTTTGGCAATGCTAATAGCAACCTGATTATCACAAAGCATTTGTATAGACCCTTCTTTAAATACTCCTAGCTCGCCAAGTAATCTTTTCAGCCACATCCCTTCACATATGCCAAGAGCTAGAGCTCTAAATTCTGCTTCAGCTGAACTTCTAGAGTATCTAAGGATTCTTGTAACAGTTTCCATGTGTTCCTCAGTTGGATTATTCATGTATTGGCTTACTACACTTATGGCTTACTACACTTACAGGGAAACCAATATCAGGTCTAGTGTGAGATAAATATATAAGTCGTCCCACTAGCCTTTGATATCTCCCCCTGTCCACTGCCCGTATCTGAGTCAATCTTTTTGTTAGAATCCATTGGAGTTGAGGCTGGTTTACACCCGAGCATTCATGTTTCCTTGAGCAAGTCTAGAACATACTTTCTTTGAGAAACAAAAATGCCATGTCTTGATGTGCAAATTCCATGCCAAGAAAATATTTAAGATAACCGAGATCTTTTATCTCAAATTCCCTTGATAAGAAACTTTTCAAGTTTATCAGTTCTTCCTTGAAATCACTTGTAAGTATTATATCATCAACATAAACTATCAATACAGCTATCCTTTGATCTTGTGAGTGCTTCACAAACAAGGTGTGATCTGCCTGACACTGAATATAACCATTTTTAATGATTGATTTAGTGAATTTTCCATATCATGCTCGTGGAGATTGCTTAAGGCCATATAGAGATTTCTTCAGTCTGCATTCTTTGTTTCGGTTGGATGAATTCTCAAAGCCGGGTGGAATATCCATGTACACTTCTTCTTCCAGGTCACCATTTAGGAAAGCATTATTCACATCTAGTTGGTTCAACGGCTAGTCTCTATTTGCAGCAAGAGATAGTAGAACACGAATCGTATTGAGCTTAGCAACTGGAGCAAAAGTCAATCAATCCCGTAAGACTGGGTGAATCCCTTAGCGACAAGGCGAGCTTTAAATCTCTTAATGCTACCATCCGCTTTATGTTTAATGGTGAATACCCATTTACATCCCACTGGTCTCTTTCCAGATGGTAAATTCATTATGTGCCAAGTCCCATTCTTCACCAAAGCATTCATTTCATCTTGTACAGCATTTTTCCAACTCGGATCAATCAGTGCTTCTTGAATTGTGTGAGGAATTTGTACACTATCAAGGGAAGAAACAAATGCTTGATAGGATGGAGATAATGTTTTATAGGACACAAAATTGACAATAGGATGTTTAGTACA